GATCTCCGAAAACGGTTAGGTTTAGGGTTGGAGGGTGTAGGGGTTCAGAGGTTTAGGGGTTTAGGGTTGCAGGGTTTTGGGTTCAGGGGTTTAGGTTCAGGGTGTAGGGGTTCAGGGTTTAGGGTTCCCCCAATGTTTGAAGCCGTAGATTTGAAAGGGTGGTTTAGGGGTACAGGGTTTAGGTTTGGCAGGTGTAGGGTTTAGGGTGTAGGCGGCCCAAAACGGTTGGAGAAAGAATCGGAAGGGTGAACCTGTTGGGTTTAGGGGGGAATTTTCTGGAGGTTTTGCGGAGTTCGGGAGAAGGTGTCGGTTCGAGCGCGAGGCAACTCTAACTACATATTCTTGTAACACCAGTTAAGCTTCCCATGAACCTTGGAATCTCAAAAGCTATTTCTTCATGAAGGTTCCTGACCATCGGGAAAACGTGCACAACCCTGGGATGAGAAATCCTATTTTTTCGGTACCGAGCCAGTGTTCAAGGGCATTCCCCCAACCTTTTTTCGAGGAGAGCCTTGGTGCCGGCTGAGACCCCAAACCCCTACTTAAAGTAGGGTTTATAGGGATTCCTTTGAAGGAACCCGAAGGGTTTAGGGTTTAGGTTCAGGGTTTAGGGTTTAATGTTAAAAGATCATGGGACTTAGTAGCTAAGGTTATTTTTAGGGTAATTATACTTATAAGTACTTAGAATCTCAATTAAGGTACTGTATAACCTGCTTACTAAGTCCCATGATCCTCCTTATAGAACCCATATAGATCCCTTTAGGGAACCCCATTATAGAACCCTATAGTACCCTTATTAAAAGCAACCCTAAACCATACTTACTAAGTCCCATGATCCTCCCAAGTAGACCCTAAACCCTAAACCCTATAGATCCCGTTAAGGAACCCCATTATAGAACCCTATAGCACCCTTGTTAAAAGGAACCCTAAACCATACTTACTATGTCCCATGATCCTCTCAAGTAGACCCTAAACCCTAAACCCTATAGATCCCTTTAAGGAACCCTCTAGATCCCTTTTAAGGAACCCTATACATCCCTTTAAGGAACCCCAAGGTAGACTCTGAAGTCCCTTCGAGGAATTTGCATCATGAAAGGGGGGAGGCCCAGACCCTAAAAGTGGCCCCAACCCACAATCCTAAAGCCTACCCTAACCTACCAGAACCCATTTTTTGGTAGGGTCCTTATACCTTCCATCACAGTACCTGCAAAAAATGGATGTTAATTTGGAAAAAAACGCACCTCAAGACATAAATTCCTGAATCCTAACCCTTGCCAGTCTTGAGCCCGAAATCGAAAATCATCCCAAAACCCTACGCAAGTCCTAACCTCAAGCTTTTTCGAAGCAGGTGCGGCTCCCGCCGAAAGGAGCTCAACTGCCCGAGGTCTTCGTGCTTCAAGGGTTTCGGGTTTAGGGCCGTCGGAGGTTGGTTAAAGCCTTAAGTGGTTGTAAGGGAGGTCGAAAAGCCGACCCTGAACCTCAAAACACCAGCCCTAAACCCTAAACCCTAAACCGTAAAACCTAGACTCTAAACCCTAAACCCTAACCCCTAAACCCCTAAACCCGCAAGGTCTTTGCAAGGGTTCTACAAGGCGAGAACTTCGGAGTTCAGAGCCTTTCGGGCTTCGGGGGCTCCAGGGGGCGGCTTCGCAGTTGTAGGTGCGGGGGTTCAGAGTTTAGGGGTGCCGGGCTTGGGAGATTTCCATGTTGGTCTAAGGGCAACCCTAAACCATAATCCCTAAACCTTAAACCCTACACCCTAATCCCTAAACCCTAAATTTTAGACGGCTTGCGCCGAAGATGCGCCAGCGCAGGTTGTGGTTTGAAGAGCAGAAGGAAAGCGGGTTTGATGGAAAGCAACCGACAACCACAATTCAGTTTAAGTAAATTGGTAAGTTTCCCAAAAAGCAGTTTAAGCAAATTGAAACAAGAGCCCGAACGGAGGTTTAAGTAAATTGAAGGCACCGAGGCAAAGCAAAAGGGAGCAGAGCAGAGCAAGGCAGGGTTGCAGAGCTAAACGCCCAATTTGGGGGCTTGGAGAGGAAAACAACGTTGTAAAGCTAGGGGTGACAAAAGCCCAATTTGGGGCTTGGAGAAGGTCTGGAAAAGGCAAAAAACCAAATTTGGGCTTGGAGGGGGTTTAGAAAAGGTCAAAATCCCCAATTTGGGGGCTTGGAGGGGGTCTGGAAAAGGCCCAACAGCCCAATTTGGTGGCTTGGAGGGGGTTTGGAAAAGGCTAAAAAGCCCAATTTGAGGCTTTGGAGGGGGTCTGGAGAAAGGTTAAAAAACCCGATTTGGGGGCTTGGAGGGGGTTTGGAAAAGGCAGAAAACCCCAATTTGGGAGCTTGGAGGGGCTCTGGAAAAGGCTAAAAAGCACAATTTGGGCCTTTGGAGGGGGTCTGGAGAAAGGCAAAAAACCCGATTTGGGGGCTTGGAGGGATCTGGAAAAGGCCAAAAACCCAATTTGAGGGGCTTGGAGGGGGTCTGGAAAAGGCCAAAAAGCCCAATTTGCGGGGGGTCTGGGGGTGTGATCGGTCGCAGCAGTCGCGCCTTTTTGCTTGGAAAAGTTGCATGCTTTGGGAGTCCTGCGCCACCCCACCTTTCCTCTCCCTCCAACCCTTAGATTTCAGGGCACCTTAACCCGTTCATATGGTAGGAGTGCCTATCGAGAGCCCTGCATGCACCCTTTGTGTTCGGCTTCCTTTGCCTTTGGTAGCTGTTTGCGTCTTTCGTGTTGTGCAGGCTGTGGCATCCTCTTCCAAGCGACATCGCCACTTCTTGTAGATCCTGGAGAAGGTGCTCGCATGTGCTCACGCCATGTGTTGCCTGGGTATTTCACATGGCTCGTACTTGCACAGCTCAGAAGTGCCAGTGACGAATATCATGGCTCGAGCACCTAGAGATTGGAGGGCATCCGATTGCCTAACCTGCAGACTTTGACTTCTGTCGCTCCCGGTAATGGCTACACTTCCACCGTTATTTCTACAGCCACGGGGGTGCAACCGCCGGTGCAGCTTCCCACAATCGTCGTCGCAGAGTCTCGACGTGATCATGTAAGGTTTGTTTTTAGTTGTGTCCGTGTCTCATTTTGTCGTCGTTCTCGTGACTCTGACTGCGCAAGCAAGGACAACTCTGGCAGGCTTTGGGTGCAGCCGGTCGTTCCTTGACTGGACTCATTCTGGCTGCGTGCGTTTGTTGCCTGCAGCACGCTGTTATGTTTGCCACATTTCGTCCCTGAAGGGTTGTTTCTTTCTGAGGTGCCGCCCCCTATGCCGGCCAATATCCTGGTCTTCACGGCGTGTCTCGTACGCACGGATTTGCAGCCTCGATCTGACCCTGTCATCTCCCATGAATCCAAGGCCGGTACATCAGATCAGGACAGTGCTCGGCGGAGGCTGAGGCCCCGTTGCTGCTGCCCAGTGTGATGTAAAACACATACATGCAGACCAACACACATGCACACCAAAGTGGAAGAACGACAGGAGGGGACGAGATGCTCGAGCAGACCTGCCAGTTTCACCGAGGGGTGAGTTTCGCCGTCGGGCGGCCGATTGCGCTGTAGAGGGTGGCAATAGTTTACTTCCATGCATGTATCCTAGGCATAGGCCGGGGTTGCTACCATACACTAGACTTAAACTCCATTGTCTGGGGGTGTGATCGGTCGCAGCAGTCGCGCCAACCAGTCCACCAAGCCCCAAACAATTCCAGCCGCCAGGCCTCCACTCCAAATCCAATCCCCAATTCCAGTCGGCCCCTGAAGCCCCGAATCCCCAATTGCAGGCTCGGCGGCCCCCCAATTCCAGATCCCAAATCCTCAAGTCCAGTCCCCAAATCCAGGCCCGAAATCCCCAATTCCAGGCTTTAAATCCCCACGTCCCGGCCGGCCTTGAATCCACAATTCCAGTCCCACGCCCCAAAACCCCGATGCCAGTCCGCCAGGCCCCAAATCCCCAATGCAAATCCCAGCATTCCAAGTCATCCCCCCAAATCCCCAATTCCAGTCCCCCCGGCCCCAAATCCCCAATTCCAGTCCCCCCCGACCCCAATTCCAGTCAAATCCCCAATTCCAATCCACCAAGCCCCCAGACCCCGAATCCGCAATTTCAGTCGAGGCCCCAAGCCCCGCACTTCAAATCCCCAATTCCAGGCAGCCAAGGCCCCAAATCCTCAATTCCAGGCCCCCAAGCCCCAACCCCATCCAAGCCCCCAACCCCAAATCACCTCAAAATTCCCCATTCCAGGCTGCCTGAAACCAGGCTGCCCAGTCCACCAAGGCCCAAATAAATTCCAGTCCCCAAGTCCCCAATTCCAGGCTTCCAGGCCCCAAATCCGCAAATCCAGGCTTTGGGGGCTCCAAATCCCCAATTCCCGCTTCCCAAATTCCAGCCCAAATCCCAGCCCCAAATCCGCAATTCCAATTCCACCAGACCAGGCCCCCAGACCCCGAATCCGCAATTCCCGTCCCCGAAGCCCCAAATCCGAAATTCCAGTCCCACAGGCCCCGAGTGCCCACACCGCAAACACTAAAACTAAAAACCAGAATTTAGCAAAATGGTTTAACGTTTAAGAAGCAGTCCCCTTAAAGGAAGCTGAACTATGTAACGCTTCGCTGCGCCATAAGTGACCAGGGCGCCTTGCGCAGTCCAAAAACTGCGCTGGCGAACCCTAATCCCTAAACCCTAAACCCTAAAACCCTAAACCCTAAACCCTAATCCCTAAACCTTAAACCCTGATCCCTAAACCCTAAACCCTAATCCCTAAACCGCCTTTGGGTTCAGGAGGGGGTGTGGTTTTGTTTGAGGGGGACGGGCGGGGGCAGGATGTCGGCTTCATGCTTGCGAATACTTGGCTTTAAGGGTTTTAGGGGTTTAGGGTTTGAGGGTTTAGGGTTTTAGGGTTTAGGGTTTACTGTTGCACCGGGGGTCTTTGCACAGGATGGCCACGCCTTGAAGCAACTCTCGGCAACTGACATTGGGCCCCAAGCCAAGGGGGTGGTTGTCATGGATCTTGATTTGAAAGGCACTCATTTGAAGCATGAGCTGGTCAGGTTTCAGGCAACATGTGGCCCTTGCAAGGAGCCGGCTCTGTTGTCGGCAACCCTCCTGCAAATCGGCGACAGATATGTGCAAAAGGTCCAGCCGGATTCGCGCCTCACTCTGGATATTGTCCCCTCGGCGATTGTGAGGCTTGCTGTGTATCGAGACCAGTGGCCCGAGGACTGGAGTTCCCTCATAAAGAAGCCCCTCAGATCGGTGCTCGAGGTCTGTGCTCTCTCGCAGACCTGTGATTCGGCAAGCTGCACATGCAGCAAGTGGCATGGCACATCATCTCCCGGGGTGCCCGAGGCTGTTCTTGAGGTTTGGGGCAGGGCCTTCGTCACAGGCAGTTTTCGTGCTTGCAAGCCAGAGGACGCTGCAGTATTCAATGCTTTCCTGAGGGTTCCTGTTGCATTGGGGCCTTTGCTGTTGGGGTACTCAGGTGAGGCTGGAGTTTACTTCGAGCCCCGTGGCCAGGAAGCACGTCAGAACTCTGTGGATTACAATGTGTTCTGGATGCCCAAAGCCTCTTATCACGATGCATTGGTTTTCAAGCAAACGCATGCTGATGTTGTGGGCCTTGCTAGGGTCGGTCAGCGTTTTGGTGTTCGTTGTGCCAAGGACAACACTGAAGCTTTGCATGCCATCCTCAGGCCTACAACCCCGTACATGGCCATGGAAGGGGCCCTCACATTTCATGCTGGGCCGTGGCCATACGGCACGCAAAGGGCGACGATCGTCAAGGCATTCAAGGAGTGGAAGTGGGAAGCCCGCCCCATGCAACCCATCCCACGCCCATCTGGCTCGGGCCTGTGGTGGGCCGTGGTTGCTCGCGAGCATCCGCCGCAGGCGATTCTGTATGTTCAGCAAGGCGAGGTGTTAATCAGCGAGGTTAAGTCAAAGGCCACTCCGAAGGTCCAGGCACAGGCACCAGTTGTTGCAGCCAAGGCAGCAATGCAGGCCTTATCTGTGGTCCCTCCGGCAGGAGAAGACCCCCTTCAGATCAACGACCCGTGGGCAGCAGCCCTACCTGCCAAGCTTCCCCGTCCAGTTGCTGTGCCGGCTCCGCCCTTCGATGTGAAATCCTTTGAGGACAAACTGCAGGCTCAGATCACGGCTCAGGTGACCACCCAGGTCGCTGCTGCCACTCAATCTGTTGAGGGTCGGGTTGCTGCTCTGGAGACTTCGGTTGCAGAGGTTAACACCCGGGTGCAGGGACAGGAGAGCAGATTGCGAGATGCCTTTCAGGAATTGTTCAATGAGCAAACGGAGCGACTCGAGCAGCTCCTCGGTGCGAAGCGGGCTCGAAATGAGTGACTAGGATCGAGGTTTCAGCCTTGGCTGGGAGGGCGCGGTGCCGTGGCTCCGCCAATGGCCTGCCTTGGCAGGCGCAGGTGTGATTTATCAGTTGGGAGCTGCCTCAAGGGGGGAGCATGCAATGCCAGCCACCTTGGGCTTTTGGCTCTGTTTTCGTCGTTTCGTTTTGGGGAAGCTTCTCACCCGGGGCCGGGCCCAAGCTGTGGTCCTGATGCTGAAGCTGATACTTTTGTGTTGGGTGCCTTTAATCCCACCGGATTGAATGGCAAGCATGGGGTGGTTTCTGATTTGCCCCGAGGCATACATGCCGTTTCCGAGTCCCACCTTACGGCTCGTGGGGTGAGCCTCTTCCGTACAGGCCTGCACCATGCAGGCGATGCTTTTCGTTACCTTTCGGGGCCACCGGCGCCGTGCCGAGCCCGAAGTGCAGTCACTGGGGAATATACCGGGGTGGGTTTTCTCTCGTCTGTGCCTTGCCGACAGGCCCCGCATGCCTTTGATGATTCCCTCTTTTCCACTGCCAGGCTTCAGGTGGCCTCCTTCCTGGTTGGTGCTCTGTGGATTTTGGGTGCCGTTGCCTATGGCTACCCGACTGCTCCGAGTGCCACGTCTTGCCTTTTGGATGCCATCACTGATAGGATTGTGCATCGAGGGGAGGGACCTCGGTTTATTGCTGGGGACTTCAACCTTCAGCCACAGGCGTTGCAGCATGCTCGTGAGTGGGCCAATCACGGGTTCATTGACGTGCAAGACATCTGGCACCAACGCACTGGCTGCATTCCAAAAGTTACGTGCAAAAATGCCACTCGCAAAGATTACCTCTTTGTCTCTGCCGAGCTTCTGCCTTTGCTCCAGGCAGTGGAGGTTGACCCGACCTGGTTTTGTGATCATTCTGCTCTCCTGGCAACCTTTCAGGTTCGTGGCTTATCAGTGCCGAGCCCAATCTGGCGAATGCCACGGCAGCGAAAGTTCAGCCCACAAGTTGTTCAGGCCATGGAGCAGGGCGGTTTCCAAACAGTGCCCGTGGTGGGCGACTCCGCGGCAGTCTACCGGAAAATCTGGCAGGAGTTTGAGACCAGAGCTTCCCAAGCTCTCCGGGGTTGTGGCCAAGCTGCCCTCCGTCCGGCTGAGGTTGGTCGAGGCCAGACGTCGGACATCACGATGATTAAGGCTTTCCAGGGGCAGGTGGCGGTTGGCCGAGCTGGTGAAGTGAAACCGGGCTTTTTTGGCAAGGACCGTCTTTATTGTCAGTGGTTTCGGCAGCTCCGCCGACTCCAAGCCCTTGTCCAGGCGCTGGGGCGGGAGGCGACTACGGATAATGCAACCTTGTATCGGGCTGGGTTGTGGCATGCCATTCAAAATGCCCCGGGATTCAAGCCCTCGTTTGTGGCCTGGTGGCCCAAGCGTGATGTGTGCCTTCCGGAGGATCCGGTGCAGCTTGCTTTGGGTCTTCCGGGACCAGTGGTCGCTCGACAAATCTTTCTTTCGTTCCAGGCCAATGTTCAGGAGTTGGAAAAGCGCCTTAGCAAGCAACGAAAGGTGGATGCCAGGCAGAGGCGGGTGCAATCGCCAGCACTTATCTTCAAAGACCTTCAAAAGGCAGCGGCTCAGCCAGTGCAGACCATTGTGCAAAGTGTCAAGGCTAAGGTGGTCGAGGTTCGTCATGATGAGGCGGCTCTTGTGTTGGATAGTGCACCCCGATGGCACGAAGGTGCAGGCTTTTTCATCAATGGGCGACCCTTGCAAGTCCATCAGGTTGCCGATGATGCACTCTGGGGTGAAACCGAGGAGGTTAATGTCGGGGACATTGTGTCCCAGCAAAGAGTTGTTGCTGATGTTTTCAGCCTTTGGGGCTGAGTGGCTGCAGCGATGGATGAAGCATGAACACATTGAGCCTAATCGGTGGTCCGCCATCATTGATGCTTTTCCGGAGAACCCGGTGCAGCCTTATGCCCTTGTGAGCATAACCGTGCCTGCGTGGAGGGCAGCTATCCAGGGAAAGCATGCACGATCGGCGACCGGCTTAGATGGGGTTTCCCGGGGTGATCTTCTGGCCCTGCCTACGGACCTCACCGATTCTGTGATCGGGTTGTGTGCACGGGCGGAGGGCTCTGGCGATTGGGCCCCGCAGTTGCTTGATGCCCGAATCTCCGCTTTAGAAAAGGTGGTTGGGGCGGCTGAGGTTACCCAGTTTAGGCCGATTTGTGTTCTGCCGATGGCCTACCGCACATGGTCGTCCATTCGTGCAAAGGAGGCCCTACGACATCTGTCCAAAGTGGCGCCGGCCATCTTGTTTGGCAACTTGCCTGGCCGATCCGCTGGTGGTGTCTGGTACGGGCTCCAGATGGCTATTGAGCAGGCCCAGATTGAGGGGAGGCCGCTAGTGGGAGCTCTTTTGGACCTCAGCAAAGCCTAGGGCCCCTGTCTTTGCCATCGGGTTACGATTAGGGTTGCCGCGAGGGCTGATCAATGCCTGGAGTGGTGCTGTCGCCAAGCTGTCGCGAAGGTTCCAGATCCGAGGTGCAACGGGCCCGGCCCTCCCAAGTGCTACAGGCTTCCCAGAAGGTTGTGCCTTGTCATGTGTGGCAATGGCGATCGTTGACTTCGCTTTGCATGTCTTCGTAGGCAGCAGCTCGAGTCCGGACGTTCTTTCTACCTTTGTGGACGACTGGCAGTTGATGGGCAATGATGGTCCTGAAGTGCAAAGGGCTTTGAAGGCGGTTGAGGATTTTGTTCAGAGTTGGGATTTGGCCATGGACCCTACGAAAACAATTCATTGGGCGACCCACCCTGTGCAAAGACGTGAGTTGCGCCGTGGGGGTGTGCAAGTGGCCCTTTCATGCCGCAACCTTGGTGGCAACATGGCTTTCACTCGCCGGCGATCGGCCTCGACCATCTCGGAGCGCATACAAGCCTTGGAGGGGCTGTGGCCGAAGTTGTCTGCTTCCTGTGCCCCTTTGAAACAGAAAATCAATGCTTTAATGCTGGCGGCGTGGCCTCGGGCCTTGCGCGGCATTTCTACGGTCACGTTGTGTGATGCGGCTGTTGCTGGCCTCCGGGCCGGGGCGGCAAGAGGACTAGGGTTGGATAGGCCGGGGCTTAATTCTAAGGTTCTCCTTAGTCTTGTGTGCCACCCGTTGGCCGATCCTCAGTTCTTCGCGATCGCTTCCACCTTTAAGGATTTGAGGGCTTTTGCTGACCCAGGCGCCTTTTCACTGTTGGTTAGCCAGGTGTTGAAAGTAGAGGGTCGTTGGACTCCGGGGCCGGCCCAAGCCTTTCTTGAAAGGTGTCATTCTGTTGGCCTTAGTTGGGATGTTGAGCAAGGGCTCTTGCAAGACGGGATTTCCACCTTTGACCCATGGAAGGTCGCCCCTCAAGAGCTAGGGCTTCGTTTGGCCTTTGCTTGGCAAGTTCGGGTGGGGCAGGAGCTCGAGGCTCGGCCCGGTTTTCAGGGGCTTTCGCGAGCTGATCCTGGCCTTACGGCTTCTTTTCGCAAGCTAGCTAGTGAACAGCAGAGTTTGGTGTTGATACTTGCCCAGTCTGGAGCGTTCTTTACCCAAGATGCTCTGCACCACTTCAGCACTGATCCCTTGGATACTGCTACCTGTAAGTACTGTGACTTTCGTGACAGTGTATACCATCGGTTGTGGGAATGTCCTGGATTCGCGGAGTGCCGTGAGAAGCATGCTGGATGGGCTTTACCTGATCCGGCGACGACACAGCCTGCCCTCGCTTTACGGGGTTGGGCGCTCAGGCCTGAGCGACAGGTTGACTTGTGGCGTGCTTTGCATGCAATTCCAGATGGCACCTACGACATGGACTGGCCATCGAGTTTGCCAGACTCCCTGGACCTTTTCACGGACGGCTCATGCTTCCTGCCGACCTTGCCGCAAATTCGCTTGGCTTCATGGGCTGTTACTTTGGCCGCTCCTGTGGGGATCACGCCATGGATTTTGTGTTCAGGTCCACTCCGTGGTATTCTACAGACTGCTTTCCGGGCTGAGATCACTGCTGTAATCGCGGCCCTGCGTGTGGCTCTGGTTTCCAAAAGAGTGGTTCGTATCTGGTCGGATTGTGCAGGCGTGGTGAAGCGACTCCGTGCAGCTGGCAATGGGCAGCTGGTGGTGAGATCTTCTTTACCCAACTGTGACCTGTGGTCTGAAGTCGTGGCCCAGACCACAATCGTTTTGGAACTTGTGGAACGAGGTTCGACGTGACCTGGCACTTCAGTCATCCCTGGCCAAGACGATGGCCCTCTTGCATCAAGATGTGGCGGAAGTGGCCATTAAAGGCAAGGACCTGGTGGCGACTGCTGAACAACCTGAGCCTGGTGGGCATCCGCCCACGTGGGGTATTGAGCCGAACCCCATGCCTAGGCATGTTCTCAAGTACGGCCATGCATATGTGAGATCGCTTGCCACTTGGCTGAGGGATTTGTTTACTGTCCAGGCGGGTAGACCTCAATGGATTTCGTTCGTGCAGCTCTACTTTGCTTTCTTCATGGAAACTGGGCAGGCTCCTCCTGTTTATGTGTCGAGAACGAAGTCTTGGATGCCTTTCGCTGAAACGAATCCCGTAACTGCTGCGGTCTCGATGTCAGAGCGTGCTCGTTTCTTCAGACAGCATGTTCGTGCCATCGTTGCTGCTGTGCATGGTAAGCTTTTTACTGGTGAAGTAAGACCGTTTTCGGCCTCTTTGGCAATTAAGCTGCCATGTTGTTATGTTGCGATTTCTGACGTCTGGCTTGAGCGAGTCGAGCAGTTCCTGCACGAGGCCCTGCCCAACGGTGTCTGTGTCCAGCGAGGACGTGAGTGGACGACGATAGGCCTTCCCCGGTGCGCCTGAAGCGCTGAGCGCTGAAGGCGAAGCCGGCTTCCGCTGACGCTGAGGCCGACTGTTACCCGAAAGGTGCCGAAAGGGTTTAGGGTTTTAGGGGTTTTAGGGGTTTAGGGTTTAGGGGTTTTAGGGGTTGCTTTCAGTTTTTGCGGTTGTAGTTGTTGAGATTAGTTACATATTTGGGAGCTTGTGGGGCTTTGGTATTGCAGGAGTTCAGGAGTTCGCTGGGTGGGGCTCAGGGGTTAGGTTGTGGGATGTTTTAAGGATCCTTAAGGGTTTGGGCGTGAAAGGTTTAGGGTTTAGGGTTTAGGGCTTATCCTCGTCTTGCAGTATCATAAATCCCAGACAGAGCTTCAAGAACGGTTGAACAAGAGACAACCCAAGTTGAGGTGTTGGGTGTCTAGCGGTTGGCGAGAGTGTACAGGTTCGCAGTTAGGTCTGTCTGGTTCTAAGTAGGGAATGGCGGAATGAACTATGGAGGGACTACTACAGGGATCCATTCCCCCTTTCCCACCCGAAGAAACAAACAGTGGTTCAGGGTTTGGGTGTTTGATAAGATTTTCTCGTCTAGGGTTTTGGGGTGGAGGATCCTCGAGGTTTAGGGTTTACGGTTTAGGGTTTAGGGAGGTTTTGAAGCTTCTGCGATGGCAGGTGCCTGCGATTTAGGGTTGAGGGTTTTTCTTGCTGACGCTTCGCATCCTAAGCTCGAAACTCGGAGCAATAAATGGGTAGGTGCTTTTTATAAGGGCACTGCACCATCTTTAGGGGCTTAAAGTTCAGAGAACTACCCATAAATCCCGAAACCACGAAGCGCTCATGAACCCGAATACCCTGAGCCACAAAGGTGCCTGCACTGCACTCATCCAATGGCGTGCTCAACTGCACACTGAGGCTCCATTTGTGTCGGAGCAGCACTGTAGAAAAGAGCCCTACTACGTAAGATGTATTAAGATTGATGTTGGGTCCCCTGTTTCCTGAAACTCCCACGTCATGCGTGGAAAATAGACCTCGTGACTTGCAAGAGCAAGAGAAGTTCGTGAGGGTGCCACTACTTGAAGTGTCATGGGACTTAGTACTTAGTAACTAAGGTTATTATTAGGGTAACTGTACTTATAACTACTTACAGCCCCAAGTAAAGTACTTATAACCTTACTTGCTAAGTCCCATGATCCTCCAAGTAGCCAACAGCCACCTCCTCCCCATCACCATCCTCCGGTCGAAAAAACCCGGAAGCCGAAACCCCAAACCCTTAAACCCTAAAACCTTCAAGATTCATCCCCAAATCCTAACCCTGAACCCAAAAGCCTGAGCTTGAGACGCTTAAACCCTAAAACCTTCAAGACTAATCCCCAAATCCTAAACCCTGAACCCAAAAGCCTGAGCCTGAGACCCTCGACCCTACACCCTGGTCTCTGACACCCAGGTTTGGAGTCCCAAGCCCACCTCAAGAAAGCCTTACACTGACCCTGAATTAGGGTTTAGGGTTCAGGGTTAGGGTTTAAGGACTCGGGTTTCGGGTGGGGTTGAGGGTTTGGGGATTTTGGGTTTCGGGCTTTGGGGTCTAAGAACTCGGGTTTTGGGTTTTTGGGTTTGGGGATGAACCCTAAACCCTAAACCCCTAAACCCTAAACCCTAAACCCTAAACCCTTTTAGGGTTCTGGGCTCTGGGTTTAGGGACTGACGCCGGAAATCAGGGCCTCAGAAGCAAAGATCCCATGATCCGAAGAAGCAAAGATCCCATGGTTCGGGTTTAGGGTTTAGGGTTTAGGGTTTAGGGTTTAGGGTTTTGAATGAATTGGGTTTAGGGTTTAGGGTTTAGGGTTTTGAATGAATTGGGTTTAGGGTTTAGGGTTTTGGGTTTAGGGTTTAGGGTTTAGGAGGATCAAAGATCCAGCCCCGCAACCGACCCCAGAGCCCCCGCGCTGAGTCTTAAACCCGCGGCTTCGGTGAAGTTGAAAACTTACCTTCAAACCCCAAGTTACCTACCTTTTTAAGGACTTATATATAGGGAAATCATATTCAGGACTTACATAAAGAAATCATAGTAAGGACTTATATACAGAAATCATAGAAGGGATCCCTAAAAAGGTAGGTTCCTTAGGGTCCAAGGAAATTGGATGCTGGACGGTTGGACCGAGCTCAGATCCTTCGTGCTTCTAGATGCTAATGCACCGTACCCTAAAACCACCAGGCCTTAAGCCCCGAAGCCTTGAACGCAACTATATAAACCGCCAAAGCCTGGACTTGAGCCCCAAACCACAACCACTTCCTCCTTTGGTGCTTGCTGGAGGCTCCTAGCCGCCCGCGTGGTGGTGGCGACCAACATCAGCCTTGCCCTCAACAGCTGGGGGTGGGAGTTTTTGCTTTAGGGCCCCGGTCCATAAGTTTCAGGCTGTGTGCAGCCTTGTTGGTAGTTGTATCTCTTTTTCGAAGTATCTGTAGCTGGTATACTTGTGCGGTCAAAGCGATGGTGACAACTGTTCCCGTTGTTGCTCTCGCTACTCTTGCGTCTACCGCTACATTCTCCTGCGTTGGTCTTGCTGGTGGTGCTGCAGCCATTAGGGTTTGGGGGTCAGACCGTACAGCCCTACTTGGAGCTTCATGGGTAGTTATAAGTAGGGTTATAAGTAGGATAACTATACTTATAACCTATATTAGGTGACTTAGGATAACTATACTTATAACCTATATTAGGTGACTTATAACCCTACTTATAACTACCCATGAACCCTAAACCCTATACCCTTATAGAATCCCTATAGATCCCTTTAAAGGGACCCTACTTATAACTCCAAGTAACCCCAGATACTGAACCGGAGGTCTGGGTGCAGGGTTGGGAGTTTGATCCAGTCCGCCTCGGCTTGCGACCACATCGTCGCACAGGGCCTTCATAACTAGACTAGGGTTTCCTCTAAAGGGATCCTTAAAAGGGATCTATAATAGGGTTCTATATTAGGGGCCTTAATCATTAGAATAGGGTTTTGGGGCCCATGATACTATAACTATAATAAGGAACCACCCCAAATAGTATTGTAATTATTTAGGCCTCTATAGCATATTGCGCCGCTTCTGCCCAGATCTTGTTTGGAAGAGAGACGCTTTAAGGCTCAACAAAATGAACGAAAGGTTTCATGTCAGGGTGGTTGTCAAAATTAGGGTCCCTTTTTGGGCGCCCTAGATATTAGGTGCCGTATTAAAATCAAAGGACCCCAAAAGGGACCCTAATATTGACAACCACCCATGTGTGCAGTGGCGCCTCCTCGTTCGAGGGTGCAGGTGCTAAAGCTCTGATCTCCTTGTGGATTTTTTCTGAAAGGGTTGAGGGTTTAGGGTTTGGGTTTAGGGGTTTAGGGTTTGGGGGTTTAGGGTTTAGGGCTTTGTGGGTTTAGGGTTGGGGTTTAGGGTTTGGGGTTTAGGGGTTTCGCTATCTTCGTTGTAGCCCACATCCTCGATGTTGCAGCAGAAACCCGAAACCCTTAAACCCTTAACCCCTTAAACCCCTAAACCGCATGCAGAGGGTTGACTTCGACCCTGAACCCCGAAGCCCAGAGACTCGATCCAGATCCTATACTTGAAGGATCATGGGACTGAGCAGCTAGGGTTATAAATCATGTAACCATACTTGCAATTACTTATATCCCAATTAAGGTACTTGTAACCTTACTTAATTACTAAGTCCCATGATCCTCCACGTACCCTTCGGCAGAGCAAAACTAAAACAAACCGTCGTGTGAGACTGTGGGGCTCCCGAACGCAATATCCTAAGCGCCGAAGATCTTGTTGCTGGGTAGCTCTCTCGGTGGGTCGGCATCGGTTTCTGTCTATGGAATCGAAAAGGAAGTAGGAAAGGCATAGCAACTGAACCCTTGAAATTTAAATATAATCCTAAACTCTTGTCTCTTGGTACGGCTATCAATAGACTCAACCAAGAAGCAACTTGGACCGTAGCCGTTAAAGCCCAGAGCCTCGCCAGCACCGTGAGTTAACTCCTGTAGTCCTGATCCCTTATCGCTTATGTTTGTAAGGTCAAGTAATCATCTGACGATGATTGAGCATGGGCATGTCAAGGTTTGGAGGATACCGGTCTTTTCTGCAGACCCTGCTATGTCTGCAGGTACCTGATGTTCTCGCTTGTGTAACTTCTATACTTGTACGTAGGGTGGACCCTTCTCGTGACATCTGCTTCAGCACGCAGGCTTCGTGACGCGGATCTACAATCACTCCATCCCTGGCCCTACGATCATCGTGAAGCCCGGTGACAGGCAGCCCGCAAAATCAGGAATCCATGAGCGTTGAATACTTGGAGGATCATGGGACTTAGTAATTAAGTAAGGTTATAAGTACCTTCATTGGGGATATAAGTAATTGCAAATCTGGTTACATGATTTAAAACCCTAGCTGCTAAGTCCCATGATCCTTCTAGTAGACCAGAATACGAAGCCTTACATAGCATCGGGTCTCTTCCGGAACCAGCGGATACCAGGCCTGTTCCTGGCATTAGGGCTATGTAAGTCAGACAGCTGCCCCACACCCTAAACCCGAAACCAAAAAACCCAAAAAATTAGGGGTACCTTATTTTGGGGTCCTTATAATAAGGATCCTACTATTTAGGGTACTATATTAGGGTCCCCTATTTTCGGAAACTCCCAAATAACCCTCCTGTGCGAACCCTGCAGGGGCTTGGGATGCCCTGCAGTCTTGATGTTGAGTTCTAAAGCTTCGACTTGGAGGATCATGGGACTTAGTAAGGTTCCTTTAAAGGGCTCCTTAAAGGGATCTATAGGGTTCCTTATACAGGGATCTATAGGGTTTAGGGTTTAGGGTCTACTTGGAGGATCATGGGACTTAGTAAGTAAGGTTTAGGGTTCCTTTTAATAAGGGCACTATAGGGTTCTATAATGGGGTTCCTTAAAGGGCTCTATGGGGGTTCTATAATGGGGATCATGGGACTTAGCAAGTGTGGTTATAAGTACCCTAATTGGGGTTATCAGCAGTTATAAGTATAGTTACCCTAATAATAGCCTGAGTTACTAAGTCCCATGATCCCTTAAGTAGACCTTCACGCGGTTCTTCTGAGAGACTACGCCGATGTCTGTTGATTCTGCAGGGTTTCAGAATGTTGATGCCTTGCTGACACGGACTCGGGTTCAAGGTTTCTGTCCGAGGCCGAGGAGATCACAGTAAGTTTTCTGCCCCTCAAAACTTTATACCGTGAGGCTTCCAACCCCTAGACCCTAAACCCCGTACCCCTAAACCCTAAACCCTAAAGCCCTCAAACCCTAGACCCCTAGACCCTAAACCGAAAGCCCCGAACCCCTAAACCTTGAAAGCCGAGACCGACATCCTAAAGGCCCGAAGCCGAAGGAAGGGAAAACATATCCTCGCCTGGCTGTGCTCGTGTGGTCAGAGACCTAACGCACCCAAAGCCTGGTTATGTGGTCGTATCTTTAGGCTTGATGGGGTTCAGATTTAGGGTTTAGGACCAAAGTTTAGGATGTAGGGTTTTACTGCGCTGTGCTTCGTTCCTGTGCTGTCAGGCTCATGATCACTGTGCAAAACGACCTGCAGGCCCATCGACTTGCTGTTTCCGGGTTTTGAGCTTTGGGGTTTAGCATGCCGATGGGTGCTTTAGCGTTTTTGGGTCCAAGGGTTGGGGTTTTCTAAGCGTTGTTCTGGTGTCGGTATGACTATAAACAGGTCGACATCTGATCCTGGACCTAGCAAAGGAAGCTGAGGATAGGCATGCTGGTCCTACCTTCTCTCCTTCTTCCCTTGTGTCTTTCTTAATCTTCGCACTCCTAAACCCTTATAGGGCTCTTTAAAGGAATCCATGCAATACCCCTATACTAACCCTTTAAAGGAATCTGCTGTAGCTGTGCATTGCTAGGGAGAGGCGCCGACTCAATGCGGTGCAGCTGAGGGGAGCACAGGAAGGCACTTCGAAGCGGACATTTCCCGGAACTGTCAGGTATCTTGTGGTTCCCCTCTTGGTCATACTGTCGATCGTTAATGATGACGAGGCAGGTGATGAGCATAGTCCGTACCATTATCATCACCACTGGTGCTATTCTATTCCTTCTCAGTTTAATCCTCCTCCTTGTGCTGGTGATGTTTGCCATTATCTAAACCCTAACTTAGTAGCTGAGTGGATACACTTTACACTTTTGGGGATAATATTACCTACTACAAAACTGAAAGGGTACACTTTTTGGGGCTTATGAACTCAGCAACTAAGCTAAGCGCCCTAAACCCTAAACCCTAAGTCCAGGTCCTGCGACCGGTTTTCTCCTGTGCTTTCCGGCTCCGGAGTAGGGCTGAACAGAAACTCTCGGAGATGAGATGGATGCATCCCCAAGTCCTAAGGCGTAAGCCCTTAACCAGAACCCTAAAGACTCAACCCAGCACCCTAAACACACAACGACGAAGATGAACGGGTAGGACAGCTCGCCAGCAGGGTTCAGGATTTGGGGACTCTTCCGCGCTTGCTTTCGCCGGCTTCTTCGAAGAAGCCCTGGGGGGCGGGAGCACAGCTGCTCGTGAGACCCTCGGCTGCACGGCATCTTGTCGAAGTGGGTTGATCACCCCATATCACTCCTTGGCAGAAGATGCTCAGCGCCTATGGTTCAGGCAGTTTGGGGTTTTGTAGGGCTTCGGTTTGTAAGGGTTTTTTTGGGCGCAAAAAAACCCTCACACCTAAGCCCTACAGGATCTCTTGGGTGGTTTGCGGGTTCTTACTTCGCAACACGCCACTGTCATTCCCCTAAACCCAATCCTTTGAAGCATTCGTCTAAAACCCTAAACGGTTTAGGGTTTAGGGTTTAGGATTTAGGGTTTAGGATTTGGGGTTTAGGGTTTAGGGTTTAGGGTGTAAGTAAGGTGTAGGGTTTAGGGTAAGCCGTAAAGCCCGAAATCGTGCCCTACCCCATCCCCACAGCACTCCGTGTTTGCAATGTGGGAGTTTCCGAAAATTAGGGGTACGTTATTCTGGGGTCCTTATAATAAGGATCCTGTTATTGAAGGTACTATATCAGGGTCCTTAAACCCCATGTAGCCATGTCATTGCCAGCAGCTGGTTTTCTGAGCGAGATGGCTTCTCTTAAGACGCTGCCATCCTCTCCCGTCTCTCGAAACACAGCGGGTTTAATTATGAGGGGTCTACAACACTAAGCTGGAGCAACCAAGTCTCAAAATCATGCCGCTTGCGTTTGCTGCAAGACTGAAGCCGTGCTGAGGCCAGTGCTGGTCCATCCTGCGCTGCGACGAGGCTCTGCACTGCGTTTCATGGCACAAAATTGAGCACAGCCATCCGCCGCTCAAATTCTAGTGCTAGAGTGCTAGAGGGTTGAGTGCGAACGCGTGCTTCAGCTGCCTGATTCCGCCAGTGCGACGAATCACGAGGGCATGGCAGAGTCTTTGTGCAGCCATCCCACTCCAACACCGGTGATTCTCGAGTAGCAGAGCTCTGTGCCCTCGCCATGGCTCTGCTTCGGATGCTGTGGATCTTGGTTTCGAGTTTGTGGGCGAGTACAGAGGACGCCCAGCCGTGCCCCAAGGGCTACTACTGCCCTGAGCAGACTTGTGCCTGGGACCAGCCATCAAGCTTTGCACGGGAGTGTCAGACAAGAAAAGACCATCTTAACTTGGGACCAGTAGTGATCGAATCTCGATGTAGGTCCCGCGTTGTGCTGTTCGATGTGATGTTCTGCCACCGAAGGTCAGCCAGTTCTGTGCCCAGCGAGCCACTACTGCCCGGAAGGCAGCTCTGAGCCTTTGCCTTGCCCGCCTGGGCACATCTGCAAGGGCCTGGGGCTGGAGGTCTTTGTAGATGCCTGGGGAGACGTTGTGCCCTTGGCTGCCGGGGACCTTCATACCGTGGTGGTCTCCAAGTCAGGCGAGCTCTGGGCAGCAGGTGATAATCAGCTCGGCCAGTTGGGCACTGGTGGCACCGTAGGGCAACATGCGTTCGTGCATGTGGCAGTTGATGGCAAAATCAAGGCCGTGGCTGCTGGAGGGGTGCACACTGCTGCGATCACGGAATCTGGCGAGCTGTGGACCTGGGGGAACAGTTGGTGTGGCCAGCTCGGCGTATCCCCCGTGACCAGTGGGTTCCACGTCCCGGTGAAGGTGAGTGTCAACGGCCAGAAGATCGTGGCCGTTGCCGCTGGAGAAGTTCACACCGCTGCCATCACGGACTCCGGTGAGCTGTGGACTTGGGGCCCCAAGAAGCCCGATGATATGTGCCCCGGAGTTGCCTCTGTGAATGGCCATGTTCCGGTCATCGTGAACGCGAGCGACCAGCAGATCGTGGCCGTGGCTGCTGGTAGACGTCACATCGTTGCGATCACCGACTCTGGCGAGCTGTGGACCTGGGGCCGCAATGGTGATGGCCAGCTTGGCGTTGGAGACACCGTGGATCGCCATGCCCCGGTGAAGGTGAACGTGGACGGCCAGAAGATCGTGGCCGTGGCTGCTGGACATTTGCACACCGCTGCTATCACGGACTCTGGCGAGCTGTGGGGTTGGGGCCGCAATGATTATGGTCAGCTTGGCATTGGGGACAAACAGGATCGCCATGCTCCGGTGAAGGTGAACGTGGACGGCCAGAAGATCGTGGCCGTCGCTGCTAGAGGAAGGCACAGCGCTGCGATCACTGAAGCGGGTGACCTGTGGACCTGGGGAAGACCAGCAGAGTGCCCTGACGTTGATTCTACGATTCGCTATGTCCCAGTCAAGGTGAGCCTTCCGAACCGCCGGAAGATCGTAGCCGTGGCTATGGGACTTCGACACATCGCTGCGATCACGCATTCTGGTGAACTGTGGACATGGGGCTGCAATTTCCAGGGCGAGCTTGGTGTTGGGGACACTGCGAATCGCCACTCGCCAGTGAAGGTGGCATTGCCGGCCAAGATCGGCGAGATGCCTGTCCCGCTGTGCTGGTCTCCGGAGGGCCTGGAGTCAAGTGCGCTTGCCGAGGCCTTCCTGGCCTCCAAAGTTCCCGTGCCCCGTGAGTGCAGTTCGTTGCGCGGCCAGCTTGCTGCTTTCCAACAGCGCCGCGTGCACGTGGGCGACCTCGGCGCTTGGGAGGCAGCACCCTGCCCAGCGGGCTCCTTCTGCCCAAGCGAGGAGGTCGGAGCCTTCGCAGCTTCGCTGGAAGACGGAGCTGTGCAGCAATGCCCAGAAGGTTTCGTTTGCATCTCGGCTGCACTGAAGACGTCGTGTGTGCGACATGTGCAAGGTCTCTGAAACAGGCAAAAGAAGTTCGTTCCTCGAAGTCATGGATGCTGAGCCAAGGCACCGTGTCAGCGAAGGCCACTTGAGTGCGGCTCTTCAATTCTCCTTTTGCCTCTGTCCCTACATTAGAGTCCTTATAGTAACCCTTACACCCCTTTAAAGGAACCCTTTAAGGGAACCCTAAAGTGTAGGTGCTACCTACTCTATTGGAGGCCTGCACGGTGGATGATATAAATCCTGCACTACCTTAAGGACCCTAAACTATGGGAATTATGGTATATTCCTTATTATGGGTAATGCAGGATTTATATCATCCACCGTAGCGACGGGCAGTCGGGTGGCAGCAGCACAAAGACTTGCGACGAGGTGCAGGAGGCATGCTAGACAACGGTCCACTGGGCCTCTTTTTCAATGCTTTCTGAGTAAGCAAGTCTTTCATTTTGCACTGCTGCTCAGGCCTCAACCTGGAAGATGTCGCGCGCGGAGTTGCAGGAGCTGCTGCAAGCAGCGTTGCAGCAGCTGCCAAACAAGGAATTAATATAGGGGCCTAAGTAATGACCATAACTATTTTGGGGGGCTCCTTACTATATTTATAGTACAATGAGCCCCAAAACCCTATTCTAATTATTAAGGCCCCTATAGTATGGACACGATGGGGCGAGACCTTGAATCACGAATCGCGAAGTCGGAGCAGCAGCTCCTGGAAACATCAGTCGACAACGTTTCCCAGCTAAGCGAAGGCCTGGAGAGAGAGAGAGAGAGAGAGAGAGAGAGAGAGAGAGCGAGAGAGAGAAAGACAGAGAGAGAGAGGGAGAGAGAGAGAGAGAGAGGGACAGAGCGAACTAGCAGAGACAAAGCCGTACGTATCTACACCATTCTATACCCTTGCGGCTAACCTGTGGTACAAGTATGTGTAGTGCATACATATTTTGCATATTCACCTGTTAGCCTACCACAAGGTGCAAGAGCCAATGAACACAACTTTTATGTTCACTCTACATTTCGGTTTCAGAAGCGCAGTAGCAGCACTTTGCAGACCCAGATACAAGTAGCGAGTAACACACCAAATCGTGTGTGCAAACAGGTTCACGAACAGCTGCACAGATGTATGCTCCTCGGCACCGTGCCGTCCTATGCACTGCTCCCCGCTCAGGTGGTGGGGACTTCCCGTGGTACAGAAGTCCTCGGCATTTGGCGTGGCGTGATGATCGTCTCGGTCTTGGCTGCCGGCTCTTTTCTTTTTCGCATGCGCATGGGAGTCACCAGGTGACCCAGCGTTCCTAGGGCGGAGAGTTCTGAAGATTCCTTGCCCCCTAAACCCTAAACCCTAAACCCTAAACCCTAAACCCTCAACCCTAAACCCTAAACCGTCATCCACGATGTGTCTATCCGGCACTCGTTGCCTCCTTTGTCTCGATCCGGGTCGAAGGCCCACAAAGTCCCGGCTGGTGCCCGACTTCACCCGTCGGTTTTTCGACGCTTTCGGGTTCCGGCAAGACGTGACGGTGATGGAGGATGGCTTCCTCTACCTGAATTTCGTAGACTTTGCGGAGCAGATGTACGAATTCCCGGTGACAGAGGATCCGCGGATGGGTAGCAGTCGGGCGGAGGAAGTTCGGGCTCCCAGCGAAAGCACGGAGAGCAGCTTCGAGTTGGCTGAGGCCCGCGACGGAGCAAATAAGTAGAAACCACTGTTCTGGCTGAGCTGAAGGAATTTCCAAGATGACTCTGGTCACCTCCATCCCGCGAATCCTGCCGTCTGAACAGGATCTGAGCCCTTATTTCCTATATGGTTTGGTACGCATGTTCGGGTATTGCCCTAAACCCTAAACCCTAAAATACGGTATGGAGGAAACAACACGCCTCTTGCGAATGCGACTGCCTCCCCAACCCCAACCCGCAAATCCTAAACTTCAAAACCTTAAACTCGAGAGCTCCAGAGCCCCAAACAGACCCTGGAAGTGACAGCTGCGCAGGGTTCGCAAGGGGTTGCAGTTGCCACGGTTGGTCAGAAGGGGTCGACGATGGTTCGGGTGGTTTCGGGGTTTGGGGATTTAGGGTTTAGGATTTACGAGACTTGGGCTAAAGGTGCAGATATGGTTTGGAGCCGGGTTCTCCAAGCTTAGAGGCATAGGAATCAAGACGAGGGCGCTCAAAACTGCGGATCCTGATTGAGGGATTTCGGGTTATAGGGTTCAGTCTTTCGGAGTTTGAATCGTTTAGGGATTAGGGTTTAGGGTAAGTTCAGTCTTTCGGAGTTTGAGGGTGGAGATGACCTCACCCCCAGCCCGGTGGTTTCGAAGCTCCCAAACCCTCAACTCGAGAGCTCTGGAGCCCCTCTCAACTTACCTTTGGTTAGTAGGGAATAGGGTTCCTTTAAAGGGATCTATAGGGGTTTAGGGCTCCTTCAAAGGGATACTTACCTTTGGTTAGTAGGGAATAGGGTTCCTTTAAAGGGATCTATAGGGGTCAAAGGGATACTTACCTTTGGTTAGTAGGGAATGGAGGAATGGTGTACAATTATAATTACTATTAATACCATTCTTCCATCCCCTACGAACCTAAACCCTTAACCCTAAACCCGCCTTATACGAAGCTCCGACACCCCCAAACTCGAGAGCCCTGGAGCAACTGAAAAAATCCCTCGACCCGGAATGAGAGCCCGATGGCTGCGGAGGCTTGCAGCTGGGAAGTGCTTGTGGCCTGGCGAATCGCAGCAGAGGCTACGGTCAAGTTTGGGTTTGGGAGTTCAAGGTTTCGGGACCTTCCGACCCTAACATGGGCCTTAACCTTTAAGTTCAGGCTTTCGGGACCTCAAGACCCTAAACTGGACTGTAACCTTGAAAGACAAGACTTTGCATAGGGATTCAATTTGCAGCCAGAGCATTCAAGACTATTCAAGCCTGAAGGTGTAGGAGTTTGAGGCATGGGCCTCGTCTCGGGTCAAGGGTTTGCGGGTTGAGGATTTGCTGTTTTTGAACTGGGATGGTGCAGGTTCCCTTCAGACTGATTTGGGTCGGAATTCAGGGATTCAACAACCAAGAATGTGACAGCTCCTCCATCCTGGAACGGTGTGGGGGGGGGAGCTCGCGGGCGTAGCTCACCTAGTAGGTGTGTGAGCAGATATGAACCCTGCGGCTCTGCTATGCTCCATGCCGTGAATCTGCCACCCCAGACAGTATAGGACACAACCATACTGTTGATGATATAAATCCTGCATTGCCCATAGTAGGGAATGTACCATACTTCCCTCAGTTTAGGGTCCTTAAGGTAATGTATCATCAACCGTAGGATCAGAGTCCTTTGTTGCTGTATGCTTGAGATCGCGAAAGCATGTTTCGGCGTGGTACACTACTCGTAGTAGAGGAAACCCCTCAAGCGCCGCGGCAGCCTCGTCTTTGAAGCCACGAGGAAAAATCTATCGTGCCTCTGCACCCTAAACCCTAAACCCCTAAACCCCTGAACCCTAAACCCTTCAGATCTTCGCGCCCCCCCCCCCCTCCACTCCCCCAGCCAAAACCCATGCCTCCTGAACCCCAAACTCGAGAACCATAGAGCCGCAGTGCCTGACAACTTAAATCCCTAACCCAGACCCTTAATGGGGATCCCTGCCCTATAATGGGCTATATAATGGGTATATACTGGCTATATTAAGGGTATATACCTAGGGGTCCTTATCTTCAACGAAGAATCAACCCTGAACCCCCAAATTCCACCAAACTCCTAAATCCTTCTAAACCCCGAAACCGTTCCGCTAAACCCTAAACCCTAAACCTTAGACCCTAAGCCCTAAACCGGTTCATACAGCAGTAGACCCTGGAGTCGGCAGGCTCCCAGCTTCAACGTCCTTCGGGCCCCACCTTCCGGAGGCCACGGCCGAGCTGAAGGGGTGACGATGCTTCGGGTGGTTCAGGAGTTCAGGGGTTTAGGGTTTAGGGGTTCAGGGGTTTAGGGGTTCAGGGTTCGGGGTTTGGGGGTTTAGGGGTTTAGGGTTTAGGGTTTGGGGGTTTAGGGGGTTTAGGGTTTGGGGGTTTAGGGGGTTTAGGGGTTTAGGGGTTTGGGGGTTTAGGGTATAGGGTTTGGGGGTTTAGGGTTTGGGGGTATAGGGGTTTTAGGGTTTGGGGGTTTAGGGTTTGGGGGTTTAGGGGTTTTAGGGTTTGGGGGTTTAGGGGGTTTAGGGGGTTTAGGGGGTTTAGGGGTTTAGGGTTTTAGGGTTTAGGGTTTGGGGCGGCCGGCGTAACGATACGTTGGACTACGGCTTGGAGTTCGGAGCAGAAAGGCCCTTCTGAGCTTCAAGATGTCGACATCCACGTTAATCAAAGGGGACAAGGGGGGACCCTTAATGGGGACCCCTACCCTAAAATGGGCTTAATGGGTGTATGATAGCTATATTAAGGGTTTTTACCTCGGGGTCCTTATTAAGGGTCCCTCCTTTTACCCTTGGATTTAAGGCACCTCGTCAGGAAGGCACCCCAAACTCCAATATCCACGACTTATGAGGAAAGACCTGTATGGCATTTTCACGGACGTTCTTTTTCTCTCGGGCTTTGGAGTGTCCGGGTAGAAGCAGGATGCTACAAATGCAGGGTGAGTGTATGCCTGGATTGCGGTTGGCTTTTAACGACCCGAGCCACCCCTAAACCAAGCACTAAACCCTAAACCTTAAGCTCTAAACCCTGAGCCTTAAACCCCAAACCCAGGGTGTTGAAGCCTCTCGGGGGTCTTCGGGCGCCGCAGGAAAGGAGCTAAAAAGAAACCTAAACACAAATACGTATCGGTCCGCATAGTGGGCCACCCAGAGAAGGCCGCCACAACTCGTTGCTTCATCGAGCTCCGGGGTTGTACAGGGAACTCCAGAAAGTTGGAATATGGTTTCAGGGTAGGATACCTTATAATTTGCCTTAAAGGGGTTACGATAATGATATTCCAACTTTCTGGCCTTTACTGTAGGGTTTCAGGTCCTTTGCGGTTTTCGGCTTCGGTGTTCGGGGTTCTGGCGCTGAAGCACAACTCAGCGATCACAGCTAGCCGGTGAAGCCTGGAAGCCAACTCCTCAGGTCCAGCCTCAACTGAACGGCGTAAGGCATACTCGAAGCCAAAAAGGAACCCTAATAGATATCCTTATAGGAGCCCCTAGAGGAACCCCATACAGAGCCCCTAAAGAGCCCTTAAAGGAGCCCCTTCCACGGATCGGCTGTTGCTTTGAGCCCGAGCTGGAAGCTGAAATGAAAGATCATGAAAGCTCCGCTGAGGCTTTCGCCCGTGACAGCTGCGCTGCGAGAAGGCGTTGCAGTGCAGTGTATTGTTTAAGGCTACTGTGCTTTTCGGGTCTAACGTTTCAGAGTTTGTTGGATCCGGGGCTTCGGATGTGTGATCTTGCTCTTGCAGAGACGAATCATGACAGGATCCAATGGTTTCGTGTTTGTCCCAAAAGCCGTCTGCGACCCAAAAAGGGCCGGTGATTCTCGAGAAGCAGAGCACTGTGCCCTCGCCATGGCTCTGTGTCGCATTCTTTGGATCGTGGTTTCGAGCTTGTGGGTGAGTGCAGAGGATGCCCAGCCGTGCCCCAAGGGCTACTTCTGTCCCGCGGAGAGTCGTGCCTGGGACTCACAAGCAGGGCTTTCTGGCCTACCCTGTCCTTGCAGTACGGATCTTTCTCGTATCGCCTTGGATTGAGATAGGGGTCCCATATCCCTAAGCTGAGCGGTTGCGTCAAGACATTACTTAACAGCAGCTGTCTTTCCCTGCCTGTGAAGGTCAGCCGGTTCTGTGCCCAGCGGGCCACTACTGCCCGGAAGGCAGCTCGGAGCCTTTGCCCTGTCCGTCTGGGCACATCTGCAAGGGCCAGGACGTGGGGGCCTTGGCAAACGGAACCTGGGGAGACGTGGTGCGCTTGGCGGCAGGAGCCAGGCACACGGTGGTTGTCTCCAAGTCGGGCCAAGTCTGGGCAGCAGGCGATGACGACTTCGGCGAGTGGGGCACGGGTGGCACTCTGAGGCAACATGCCTTTGTGCATGTAGCGTTTGACGGGAAGAAAATCGTCGCCGTGGCTGCTGGAGACCACCACACCGCTGCGATCACGGATTCTGGCGAGCTGTGGACCTGGGGTGCCAATGAACATGGCCAGCTTGGTGTTGGGGACACCAAGGATCGCCATGCCCCGGTGACGGTGAGCGTGAACGGCCAGAAGATAGTGGCTGCTGTGCTGCTGGAGGAGCGCACACGGCTGCTATCACGGACTCTGGCGAGCTGTGGACCTGGGGCTTCAATTTTCATGGCCAGCTTGGCGTTGGAGACACCAAGGATCGCCACGTCCCTGTCAAGGTGAGCGTGAACGGCCAGAAGATCGTGGCCGTGGCTGCTGGACATTTTCGCTCCGCTGCGATCACGGACTCTGGCGAGCTGTGGGCCTGGGGCCTCAATGGCAATGGCCAGCTTGGCATTGGTGACACCAAGGATCGCCATGCCCCGGTGAAGGTGAGCCTGAACGGCCAGAAGATCGTGGCTGTAGCTGCTGGACATAAGCACACCGCTGCCATCACGGACTCTGGAGAGTTGTGGACGTGGAGTGACAATGGTCCTGGCCAGCTTGGCGTTGGGGACACCAAGGATCGCCATGCCCCGGTCAAGGTGAGTTCGAAGGGCCAGAAGATTGTGGCCGTGGCTGCTGGACTTTGGCACACCGCTGCGATCACGACTCTGGCGAGCTGTGGACCTGGGGCTGTAATGGCGGTGGCAAGCTTGGCATTGGGGACACGACGAATCGCTACTCACCGGTGAAGGCGGCATTGCCAGCCAAGATCGGCGAGATGCCTGTCGCACCGTGCTGGTCTCTTGGGAGCGGTGCGTCAAGTGCAGTTCACGAGGCCTTCCTGGCTGCAACGTGGGGCTCGACGATTCCCATGCCTCGCCAGTGCAGTGCGTTGCTGGGGCAGCTTGCTGCCTTTCAGCAGAAGTGCCACATGCATTTGGGCGCTTGGGAGGCAACACCGTGCCCAGCGGGCTCCTTCTGCCCAAGGGAGCAGGTGGGACACTGCTCAGCTGGTTTGTTGGAAGATGGAGGTGCACAGCAATGCCCGTCGGGTTTCTTTTGCAGCTCGCCTGAACATGTTGCAGTGGACGTCTTTTTTTTTGTTTTGCAAAGATTGTTTTCGTTTGACCCTGATGACGCTCCTGTCCCACAAACCCGGACACTGAACCGAGGTACCAAGGGCTCCACGGCACCGACACCTTGCAAAGCTGGCGTTTGGTGCCCGGCAGGGAGCACAGGCCCTCCTGGCAACGAAGGCCATTTGGGTGCTCGGAAGATTTTTGCTTCTATATCGTTATCTTTGCAAGGAATGCGTATGCTCCTCGCGTAGTCGACTTAAGGTGTCGATTTGTCTTGTGAAAATCCAGTTACTGTAGTTCTTTGCCATGCTTGTCCTAACATCGCGTAAAACCTCAAGCTCCAAAGCATCTTCATTTCACTTCGTTGTGCTTGGTTTTTGTAATCGTTCTGGGCATAACCGACATGGCCCCGGATGTTTGCGAAGGCGTGTGGCGAGCAGGGATAGAGCCTGAATCGAGCCTTTTCGTGCCCTTGTGCCAGTGTGTGGGCTAAACCATGAGTTCGTTCTTACCGCATGAGAGAAGAGGCTTTCATTTAGGAATATGCGCTGACTCACTCTACAGTCCGTATTACCTGTAGTCTCCATTGTAGTTCCTTTTTGGGGTTACCTTATAGGATCCTTACTATATAATTGGTTAAACCAAGAAAAGGAACTACAATGGAGACTATAGGTATGATGTGAGGGATTGAGGGTTCTCGCGCCTCTAAGGGAACCCCGAAGGTGTGCAGTCGGGTGGCAGCACAGAGATTCTCGAACAGGTGGAAGAGACAGGCCAGATTAAGGTCCCCTGGGTTGCGAAGCCATTTTTCTTAGTTCCTTTCGTGCATGCAATCCTTCGGTTGTTTTTTTGCTGTTCATTTGGTGTTCAGCAGGCTGAGCAGGAGAAAGCCTTGAGTTGGTTCCATGACAATGTCGCATACCTGGCGCATAAGCTGCGGCAAAAGATCATGAGCATGACGCAGCAGCATCTGCAGCATCTGGAAGCCTCAGTACACAGCCTTGAGGCGAAAGTGCAGATATTGACGCCCCAAAACTACACGAAGTTGGAGGAGCAGCGAGCTGCGTCGAAGCAGCAAATAGACCAGATTCGAAAGGACCTCGACTCCCACATCGCGAAGTTGGAGCAGCTGCAATGTCTGGAGGCGAAGGTACAGACTTTGACGTCCCAAGACTACACGAGGTTGGAGGATCAGCGGAAGCAAACAGCTTCGAAGCAACAGATGGACCAGATCCGATCAGATCTTAACTCCCTGCAGCAAGCAGCAGCACGAGAGGACATGAAGTCTCAAGACTTCACGAAGTTGGAGGATCAGCTGCAGCAAGCAGCAACAAAGCAAGACATGGACAAACTTCGACAAGAGCTTGAATCCCAAATTGGGAAGTTGGTGCAGCAATCAGCATCAGAAGCGGACGTGAGCGTGTCCTTGCAAGATCTGAAGGCCTCGGTGCAGAACGTCGAGGAGAAGCTCCCAGTTCTCAAGTCCCAAGGCGACGCAGAGGGAGTCATAGCACAGATCGTTGAGAAGCGAGGGATCAGAGTGAGTAAGAGAGAGAGAGAGAGACAGAGAGACAGAGAGACAGAGAGACAGAGAGACAGACAGTTTTGCACGTTCCTACGCACATATTTCATCATATTTGCCGCGACAAATCACATTGCCCGAAACTCTACTTACCTACTTTGCTGCCTAATCGTGAGGCATATTTGGGAACTCTGGTTCTCCGTTCGCACATGTGCGCATACATATACATATTTCGATGTACAGGTACATAAATAACTAGATAGAAAGTGCGTAAATTGATGAATAAATCTATCTATCTATCTATCTATCTATGTATGTATGTATGTATGTATGTATGTACGTGGGCAGGTATGTCTGTAAGTATATGATGTATGTATACTACTTCATACGTATCCGCTCTCACCTGACTTTTTATGTGCTTGTGACTATACAGGCTTACTTGAGAGCGACACTTGGAAGGCGCAGACAGAGACACTTAGATAAGCACTAAAAAAATCATTAACAGAGTGTGGTAAGAAGTTACAATTCCGATTCCGACAATTGGACCAGGTGATTCGAATCGCAGGGCAAAACCAAAAGAGCGGACACAACACCTGCAGCTAGCAAGAACCTCAGAACTGTGACGTGCAGCTCATGAACAGCCAATGGTATTGAAGTTAGGTAGATCAAGCACAAGAAGCAACTAGTCAAGAAAAAGACAACCACATCAATGTCGTGACAACGAAGAGATTGAAGATCAAGCATTAGTGCTGGACAAGACCGATTGAATCTGTGTGCACATAATCGCATGAATACGTTTGTACGCAGCTACATGGATGTATGCTGCATGGCAGTGTTTACTAGACTGTGCTTTCCCCACTTCGTCCTAACCGAAGTGCTGCTCATTGCACCTCTTTCAGGTTTTCTGGACACCGCCGTGGACTGTCGTGGCACAGAAGCCCTCGGCATTTGCTGTGGCTTTACGCTCGTCTCAGCCTTCTGTTTCCTTTTTCGCATGTGCATGCGTGGGGGTAGCCAGGTGGCCCAGTATGACCATGCTGGGCGGAGAGTTCTCAAGATTCATTGCCCTAACCTCTCCATCCGCGATGTGCGCGTCCGACACTCCGGCCTCCGTGTGGAGGTAGATCTGGGCCAGGGGGCTATGAAGCCCCGGCTGGTGCAAGCTCGACTTCGCTCGTCGCGCTTCGAGGCCTTCGAGTTCCGGCAAGACGAGACGGTGATGGTCGGCGGATTCCTTTTCCTGCATTTCGTGGAGTCTGTGGAGCGGATGTACGACTTCGCTGTGACAGAGGATGCGCGGATGGAGGAAGTTCGGACTCCCAGCGAAAGCACGCGGAACAGCTTCGAGTTCGTGGCTGACGCAGCTGAGGAGGCCGTCGACGGAGCAAATGAGTAGAGACCCTTCTGAACTTGTTCAGCGGATGGATTCGCAGGATGTCCGCGCGCAAAGATGGTGCCAGCTCCTCCGTCCTGGAACTGTTGGGGGAACTCTCACCTCGGTGTATGAGCGGATGTGAACACCGGCGATTCTGCTATCCTCCACACCGTGACTCTTGCACCTTAAACCGTAACACACAACCACGGTCTGAGTCCTTTGTGGTTGTATGGTTCTGCATGCAAAAGCATGTTTTGGTAATGGAGGAAGAGAAGCCGCGGAGGTGCAGCGGCAGCCTCGTCTTTGAAGCTACGAGGGAAACCTATCGTGCCAGGCTTGCAGGTCGTCCCCCCAACTCAAAATAACACGCCTCCTGAACCAAACCCGAGAACCCAGAGTTCAGAGTCTCACAACGTAAATCTCTGATTCACAAAACCCCTTGAGCTGTTAATACAGCACTAGACCCTGGACTTGCCGGCTGCGCAGGCTTGAAGCCTCAACATCCTTCGGGTGTTGCAGCTTCCGGAGGCCCGGAGCTGAAGGGGTTGACGATGCTTCCGGGTGGTTTAGGGGTTTAGGGGTTCGGGGTTTAGGGTTTTTGGGGATGGGGATTTGGGGGCCTAAAGACCTTCCTACAGACAAGAGAGTTCAGGGCGTGTAGGATTTTGAGGCATGGGCCTGGGCCTCGTCTCAGGTCGAAGGTTCTGTGGACCCTAAACCCTAAACCCTAAACTGGGATGGCGCAGGTACCGTTCGGACTGAGGGCTGTGCATTCGGGGTTTAGAGAGGCTTTCAACAACCAAGACACTGCCAGCTCCTCCCATCCTAGAACGGTGCGGGCTGGGGGGGCTCGTGGGCGTATCTCACCTCGGTGTATGCGCAGATATGAACGCCACGGATATGCTGTCCTCAACGCGTGAATCTTCCACCCTAGACAGTAAGACACGCCAGCATCCGATCCCTTTGTTGCTGCATGTTTCCGCGCGCAAAACCATGTTTCGGTATGGTAGAGGAAATCGCCGAGGCGGGTAGAGGCGCAGCAACAGCCCTGTCTTTGAAGCCACGAGACATGTATCGTGCCAGTACCAGCGCTTGCAGGAGCGTGTCGCGCCACCCCCCGGCCCGTACCCAAAACCCACGCCTCCTCAACCCCAAACTCGAGAACCCTAGAGCTGCAGAGTCTCAACACCTAAACCCCAGGTCTCTAAAACCCAAATCCCTGCAGCCCTGTTAACTCTAAACCCCCTATAGACCCCTAAACTCCCCAAAACCCTAAACCCCTATAAACCTCTAAACCGTTCATGCAACGGTACACCTTGGAGTTGACAGCTGTGCAGGCTTCCGGCTTTGACATCCTTGGAGCTGCTGCTTCCGGAGGCCACGGGGACTTTGGACATCTTTGGACTGCGATTCGGAGTGGGGCCGGGGGCGGGAGCCTTCTAAGCCTCAAGATGTACGAATCGAAACCAAGGGTCTCGTCTAACATGTATGCGTACCCAGACTCCAAGAGCCACGACTTCTGAGTCGTTGAAAAAAGACCTCTACTGATGTATTGTACTTTCAGGAATATTCAGCTGCAGCGTGAATGGATGCTTGGATTGCGGTTGAATTTAGGGATTGAGCGCGCGTAGGAAGGCTGTCAGCGACCGGAACCATCCAAACCCAAAGCCCAAACCGCAAATACAATTCGGGCCGCATGGTGGATCACCCAGAGAAGGCTTCCGCAACTCGTTGCTTCGTCGAGCTTCGGGGCCAACGCTTACGCAGGTTTGCAGGGTTTACGGTACTTGGAGGACGATGGGACCTAGTGAGTAAGGTTAGAAGTAGTTCCCTGATGTGTAAATCTAGTTACTAAGTCCTATGATCCTTTAAGTAGGGTTTTGTGCTTGTGGGATTAGGGCAGTGGGGGTCTCTGCCTTTCGGGGTTTCGGTATTTTGCGGCTTAGTGCTTTACGGTCCGGGTTCTGGCGCCAAGACACAACTTCGCGATCGCGGCTAGCGAGGCAAGCCTGAAAGCCAACTAGTCCGAACTCCAATACAATTGGTCTTGTTCTTGTCCTTATGCTTAACTATTGTTTTTGGCATTTTTCATATTGATATTTCCATGATGATGATCATGGGGATACTCGGAGACTCGCCGTTTTCATAAGGCTCAAAAGCCGAATCTTTGGAGTCCCACGGATCGGTTGTTGTTTGAGGCCGAAGTGCGCTCCCATAAGCCCGGCTGAAGCGGAAGTTGTGCTGAGGCTGTTGCTCTTGCCAGCTGTGCGGCGAGAAGGCATTTCAATGCAGTGACAACGTTTCAGGGGTGGTTGGAATGGGTGCTGATGTGTGCTTCAAGTGTATAATCTTGCTTTGGGCACAGCCGAAGCATGACTCCCCGAAAGCCGTCTGCGACACAAAAAGGGCCGGTGATTCTCGGGTAGCAGAGTTCCTCTGTGCCCCGGCCATGGCACTGTTTCGGATGCTGTGGATCGTGGTTTCGAGCTTGTGGGTGAGTGCAGAGGATGCCCAGCCGTGCCCCAAGGGCTACTTCTGTCCTGCGGAGAGTCGTGCCTGGGACTCACAAGCAGGGCTTTCTGGCCTACTCCGTCCTTGCAGTACGGATCTTGCTCGTATTGCTTTGCTTTGGATTGAGATAGGGGTCCCGTATGCCTAAGCTGAGCGGTTGCGTCAAGATCTCAACAGCAGTCGTGTTTCCTTGCCTGTGAAGGTCAGCCGGTTCTGTGCCCAGCGCAGCACTACTGCCCGGCAGGCAGCACGGAGCCTTTGCCCTGTCCGTCTGGGAACGTCTGCAAGGGCCAGGAAGTGGAGGCCTTGGTAAACGGAACCTGGGGAGACCTGGTGCCTCTGGCTGCAGGGGCTTACCACACAGTGGTTGTTGCCAAGTCGGGCCAAATCTGGGCAGCAGGCGGAAACGACGACGGCCAGCTAGGCACCGGCAACACCGTGGGCCAACATGCCTTGGTCCATGTAGCATTTGATGGGAAGAAAATCGTGGCCGTGGCTACTGGAGATTCGCACTCCGCTGCAATCACGGAATCTGGCGAGCTGTGGACCTGGGGCTTCAATGGTGATGGCGAGCTTGGCGTTGGGGACACCACGAGTCGCCATGCCCCGGTCTGCGTGAGCGTGAACGGCCAGAAGATCGTGGCCGTGGCTGCAGGAGGAGGATACACCGCTGCGATCACGGAATCTGGCGAGCTGTGGACCTGGGGCTGCAATGACGATGGCCAGCTTGGCGTTGGCGACACCAAGGATCGCGCTGCCCCGGTCAAGGTGAGCGTGAACGGCCAGAAGGTCGTGGCCGTGGCTGCTGGATATTGGCACACCGCTGTGATCACGGAATCTGGCGAGCTGTGGACCTGGGGCTGCAATGACGATGGCCAGCTTGGCGTTGGCGACACCAAGGATCGCGCTGCCCCGGTCAAGGTGAGCGTGAACGGCCAGAAGGTCGTGGCCGTGGCTGCTGGATATTGGCACACCGCTGTGATCACGGAATCTGGCGAGCTGTGGACCTGGGGCTACAATGGTGATGGCGAGCTTGGCGTTGGGGACACCACGAGTCGCCATGCCCCGGTCTGCGTGAGCGTGAACGGCCAGAAGATCGTGGCCGTTGCTGCAGGAGGAGGATACACCGCTGCGATCACGGAATCTGGCGAGCTGTGGACCTGGGGCTGCAATGACGATGGCCAGCTTGGCGTTGGCGACACCAAGGATCGCGCTGCCCCGGTCAAGGTGAGCGTGAACGGCCAGAAGGTCGTGGCCGTGGCTGCTGGATATTGGCACACCGCTGTGATCACGGAATCTGGCGAGCTGTGGACCTGGGGCTACAATGGTGATGGCGAGCTTGGCGTTGGGGACACTACGAGTCGCCATGCCCCGGTGAAGACAGCATTGAGGGGGAAGATCGGCAAGCTGCATGACCCTCTGTGCTGGTCCATTCAGGGTTGGGAGCCGAGTGCGCTTGGCGAGGCCTTCCTGGCTGCAACGTGGGGCTCGCAGATTCCCGTTCCCCGTCAGTGCAGCGCATTGCAAGACCGGCTTGCTGCTTTCCTGCAGAAGTGCCGCGTGCAGGTGGGGGCATGGGAGGCAACACCGTGCCCCGCAGGCTCCTTCTGCCCAAAAGTCGGAGCCTGCTCAGCTGGCGTGTTGGAGCATGGAGGTGCGCAGCAATGCCCAGCGGGTTTCTTTTGCAGCTCGGCCGCAAGCCTTCCCGTGTGGGACTGTCGTGCACGAGACGTGCCACATTTGCAAGAATTTTGCAAAGGTGTCCAACGGGAAAACAAGCTTGACTGACTCGTGCCTCACGAGGATCGTGCCCGATGAACATAACGAACCGAGGCACCCAGGGATCGGTGACACCGACGCCGTGCAAAGCTGGGCTGTGGTGCCCGCCCGGGAGCACCGGTCCTCGTGCCAGCGAAGGCCACTTGGGTGCTTTGCTGACATGTTGTGTCTCTGAAGTCGTCGTCTTGCCAGCCAACTGTGTGTGCGTTTTTCCATTCCGCATTCTACATCGTTTAGTTGAGCTTTGGCTTTCCAAGATTCCGAAGATGCAAAACGCTTCGCTTCCCAGGGAGGTCGTTGGCATGCTCACTCATTGTGATGATTTGCTATACTTGTTAATCTTCCCGCAATCCTGCACCCTCAAGCTCCGAAGCATCTTGGTAGCTCTTTTGCGGTGCCTGTGTTTATGTCTGTGTGAAGACAGTACAGCTGTACATTCTTGTGCCGCAGCTAGGCCGAACCGTGAGTTCGGCATCGCCCCATCAATTCAGAGACTCGAAGTGGGGTTTTGGAGTCTCTACGAACCCCGGCGCCTTTGGACCTGAGGCGCAGCTGGCGAAGCCGCGTCTCCTGGCGACAGTCGCGGTATCCAGTCGCGTGTCAACAAGACGGAGGCGGAGAGAGCGGGAGGCGGAGAGGGTGAGAGCGAAACAGACATGTTCGTATATACAGACGCTATAGCAAGCCAGCCGAAGAAGCAGCGCTGGATGAACCGGTGCACACAATATACTTTACGTGCGTGTATGCAGGCTACATAGGTGTCTGCTGCTCGGCACGGTTTACGAACTGTGTGCCTCTTGCTTGCTCCTTCGTAGCCAGCTGCGTTGCTCCTCGGTCAGGTGGCAGGGACACTGCCTGGGACTTCCGTGGTACGGATTCCCTGGACATTTGGTATGGCTTAGTCATCGTCTCTGCCCTGGCTGCTGGCTCCGTTAGTGTTTTCGTTGGCATCTTTGGGTGGAGTGGCTGTAGCAGCCCGGTGACCCAGTACGACCATCGTGGGCGGAGAGTGCTAAAGATTCGCTCCCCCAATATCTCCATCCACGACGTGTCCGTCCGCCATTTTGGCCTCCGTGTGGAGGTGGATCTTGGCCACAGGGGTGCAAAGCCCCTGCAAACCCGACTTCGCTCGTCGTTGGCGGCCTTCGAGTTCCGACAAGACGAGACGGTGATGGAGGACGGCTTCCTTTACCTGCACTTTGCTGAATCTGCGGAGCGCAGGTACGAGTTCCCAGCTCCGGACGGAGGGAGCTGGGATGCCAGTGAAGGCACAGAGAACAGCTTCGAGTACGTGGCTCTGGGTGAGGAGGAATTGAACGGAGCAAGTGTGTAGGGGCTGTTGTTCTTGCTGAGCTGATGGAATTCGCATGATGTCTTGGCACAGATGTCCGTGCGCAAAGACGGGTGCAGCCCCTCCGTCCTTGAACGGTGGTGGGGTTGTGGGCGAAGCTCATCTCGGAGTTGAGCGAGTATGAACCACGTGACTCTGCTATCCTCCATTCCGCATGTCGTTCACTCCCCACAGGACAGCGCAAATAGGAGTCGACTACCGCGATATGGTTTCAAGCCTGAGCCCTTTGCTGCCCTGGTGTTCTTGCATGTAAAAGTTTCATTTCATTCGATATGGGTAGAGGAAATTGCAGAGGCACAGCAGCGGCAGTTTCGTCTTTGAAGCCACGAGGAAAAGGTATCATGCCCCAGCGCTGTTGCAGATTGCAGTGCTCAGAGACCCCCCACAAATCCACCAATCCGAAACTAATAAACCCTGTGAGCCTATGAGCTCTAGAGCCTTTGACACCTGGAGGTTCATGGGTAGTTATAAGCAGGGTTATAAGTAGGGTAACTAAACATATAACTTATATTAGGGGAATTATAACCCTATTTACAACTACCCCTGAGCCTCCAAGTAGAAGGACCTTAAAGACTAAACCGAGCTCGCTTGGCAACCCGTGTATATTCACTCGTGTTGCGAATCTATGGAGCCGGGGCTCCAAGCTTCAAGTTTCAGGAGGCATGGGCCTCGTCCAAGCTTTGGGGTTTGAGTATGAGGTTGGGGGTTTGGGGTTGGAACAGGGATAGCAGAGGTACTGAGGAATCGTCGTTCAGAACGGCTTCCAACAGCGATGACTGAAGGTCGTTTGCTATTGCAAGGATGTGTGGGTACGGAGAATGCTTCCCGGACTGATCGAATATCAGACCTGAGAGGAGGTGAGCTCAGTTCGGAATGTTGTCGAGATAGCTTGACTAGCTCTTGTCGAAGATGCTCTCCAAGGAATTGTATGGCTTCTTTTCTGTGCCAGTTGAGTCCACAGCCTTGCTTCCGGGTACCACCAGGGTTTTGGTAAGGCCGTTTTCAGCGCTTAACCCTCAAACCCCTGTGCGCGTGAACCCGGTTCTGTCAGCTTGACCATCTGCTGCACAACTCTACTCTTTCAGGGCTCCTCCATACTCTGCAGGTATAGCAGCGATGATGCCGCCCATGGACGTCACGAATCGGGCCCTGAGTGGCGCTCGCAACGCAAGTAGCGTTTTGGGAGCCAAGCTCCTCTAGTGTCATACAGTGGCTTCGAGTTTCGTGCTCTTGGGTGCGAAGAGGGGGTTGCGGAGTGGTAGGTCTTTGTGCAGATGGTTCGGACTGTGAAGCACATATCGTGTCGAGAGAACGAAGCGAAGAAGCGATTGAATTCACGGCGGCATGTCCGGTCGGACACGCTGATTGACCGGCTCGGTTACGTTTCAGCAAGAAGGTTTTAGCAAAAAAGCGGCAGCAAGGAAAGGCGCTGCATGATTAAACAATAGAAGGGGTTGGAGAGGTGATGGTGGCGATGGCCATGATGATCAGGACTCGAGGATGACGAAGACACTGCTGCTCGCGCTGGCCATGATGACGATGATTGCTCGAAGGTGGATGTCTAGGTCAAACCCATCATCATTTGGGTGCACGGTTTAGGGCTTCCGCTTCGTTTTTCAGGCTCCCTTGGGCAGCGTCTCCAGCCCCAGACTCAGAGACCTGCTCGGCTGCCGGAATCGTCGGAAGCCCGAAACCGAAGCCCAAGCCCGAAGGCTTGCATGACGGCTGAGGCTTCAGGCTTCAGGGCTTGAGGTTCTTGGGTATTGGGCTTCGGCTCGGTGTTCTGGAGTTTAAGGGTTAGGCTTCGGGTTGGTATACGTTTTTTGGTCTAAGGTTCAGGGTTTAAGGGGTGAAGTGTTAGGAGTTTCTTTTGCAGGCGCCTTCAGCCTGAGGTGACACCTACCAGCTCCCGAACACCACCAACCTGCATGTTCACGGCCAGGCGCTCAGCTAAGAGCGATCAGACAGTGCCCTGACGAGAGAGCAGACTTTCAGCAACTGGTGGCGACGACGACTCTGGAGGAAATGGAAGATGACCGCGATGATGATGATGATGATGATGATTGTGAGGTGATTGTGAGGGTGGGGGTGATGGTGACGATGATGAGGCGATGACAGAGATAATGACAACAGCGGCGTTTATGCCATCCGGCTCAGCAGGCCCTTTTCGGGAACCCTAAGGACATAGTTCCTAAGCCATAGCCACTGCTCAGAGTCTTCATACATGTTATGAAACCAAAAAACCCAAGCTCCGGGAAAGCCCTAGGCTTTCTCTGTGCCACATAGGTCAAGTCTTGATCCGCAGCCCGACATCGTAATTAAATCCTGACTTCGGGGTTTAGCGTTAACGGTTCCAAGATGTTCCAAGAAGGGTTCCCTAAAGGTGCGGGGTTTCGGAATTTGGATCCCAAATCGCGGGTCTTGCGTCCGAGTCCCAAAGGCATCTGCCTGTACCAAGGACTTCACGTGTCGCCCCAGTCTCCTGCAGACAATGTCTTTGCGAAAGTGGGGCCGGGCACGTCCTCCGTGTGGCTTGCATGGCAATTCGTTTTAGGGCTCATGGATTGATGGCTTAATAAGGGCTTAGGGGTTTAAAGGGTTCAGGGTTTGAGGGGTTCGGGTTTTTGGGATTTAAGGAGAACAGCTTGGGCTTCAACGGGGATCTCCGATTGAAAGGTGTCGGGTTTTGTTGGTTCGGAGATAAGCATATTCGAGGTTCGGCCCAAATCCTGCCAGAATGCTTGATAGTTCCTGATATCTTGAAGGTCTGAACCCCCAAGCCTTAAACTTACCTTTGGTCAGCAGGGAATGGAGGAATGGGGTATAATTATATCTACTATTACTACCATTCTTCCATTCCCTACTAACCAAAGGTAAGTAAACCGCAGTTCCTCCCTAAACCCTTTATCCTTAGAATCCCTATAGATCCCTTTAAAGGGACCCTTTAAGGAAGACTAACTGATATCTTGAAGGTCTGAACCCCCAAAGCCTTAAGCCGCCCAGGTATGACTACCGGATCCTCGCGGATCACTCCCCGGGAACCTACTGGGCGCACCCTCACCATCAGGGCTCCACGGCGAGACTCCCAGGTTCATTGCCGGGGCAGATGCCGAGAAGCATCGTACTAAGAGGCTCTAGGGTTCAGGCTTCAAGAGCTCACTAAACCCTAAACCCCACAAGTTTACCAGAGTCCGAGGGCCAAAGCTCCTAAACCGTCAGTAGATCCGGTTTAGGGTTCAGGGTTTAGGGTTTGGGGGTGAGGGTTTCCTGGAAACGAACTTCAGGGGTTAGGCTCCTAGCCCAAACCTTATGATTCCTCTCCTCCAAGCCCTAAGATTTAAACCCTCAGCCCGAAATACTGATTCCCCAAATGCTGAAGTCCAAAGAACTGAATCCTAAATTTCTATGTTTCAAATCCTGAGCCCAAGTTAGAAACGAAATCCCCCAAAATCCTAAACCTAAACCCTAAACCCTACACCCTAAATCCCCCAGTGCCCTAAGTCGCAAGCCTTCAGCCGGCTGAGGTCCTCCAAGGGGGTGCCGGAGCTGCCTCGGCGGTCCTGGTGCAAGACCCACCAGGCTGCAAAGCCACGGTTTAGGGTTTAGGGTGACCCTAAACCCTAAAACAACGCCGAAATCAACGCCGAAACTGAGCAAAGGGTCCCCAGAGACGCCAATATCCCTTAATTAAGGAATAGTCCTTAAATCATATTGGGGATCCTACTATAATTTAAGGTCTATTCCTTAATCCAGGGATAGTGGCGTCTCTGGGTCGAGGGACTGCGGGATCCGTGGTGGTCGGGGGGAATCCGGGCATGGATGTTGGGGATTGAGGATTAGGGCCTAACCATTAGGCTTCAGGGGTGAGAGTGTGAACCTCCGACGTCTAAATCTTTAGATCCTAGATCATGCCCTCTATCATTGGTTCCTGATTTGAGAGTGTCTTCGCGGTTCGAGGCGGCTTTCGTGTGCAATAGCCAAAGGTCATCACCATCATCATGGAACCAGGTAGGTCCAGGAAGCACCTTAAGTTACTCGTAGGGCCAGTTCTTTGTTCCAAAGGCATTTTCGGGGGTCATCTAGGTACGAAGCCTAAATCTCAAAGCTGACCCTAAACCATGGGCCCCACTGACTCCTACTGAGGATTCTTTTCGGGAGCCTAATCTATGTTACTACAACCGGGAAACTGGGAACTGTAGAACCCAGTGCTGCTAGCCCGAATCCGAAGGCTCAGATCCTTGACCCTGATGAGAACTCAAATGGGAGTTTTCGAAAATAGGGGACCCTAATATAGTACCCTAAAGAGTAGGATCCTTATTATGAGGACCCCCAAAAAAGGTACCCCGTTTTGCCACAACAGCTGCTAGGGCAATTGAGGTTTTCAGTGTGGGTTTAAGAGTTTTTGCTTCAGTTTCAGTTTGGAGTTCAGGGTAGGGTTCTCTTCTGCGTTTGTCAGCACCAGCCGGGTTGTTGAAGTAGGGGTAGCTTCGCTCTTCGGGGTGCGGCAGAGTACTAGAGAGGTGTGGATAGTTAGCTATTAACGAGGCCCCTCATCGGCATATTAGATTGGTTATACCCTAATTATACTATTAATATCATTAATTTCCATTACAGGCCCCAAGACACTAATCTTAGAATAAGACACGAGTGTTGCGAGGAGGACCCAAAGATTTGATGGATCCTGCGTCAGAGAACTGCAACAGAGCTCTTTTTCAACTCTTCCACAGCGCAACGCTTTACTCTAAACGTTGTGCGCGAAACTCAAAACTCACTACCCACAGAACTCATAATGCCGTGATGAAGCACCATTCCGTAAATCATGAAGAGAAGGCTTGCGACATTTCCGGTGCTTGCCTCAGTTAGGCATAGAACCCAAAGCCCTTAGCTCACAACCCAAAACCCAAAACCCTAAACCCTAAACCGTGGCTCCCTAAACCCTCGGAGTTTGGTGGAGGCTTCCTGTCTCCTCAGCTGGAGAAGATGCCGGAGCACAGCCTCGTGGTTCAGAGGGCCCGGCCTGTCCTGACTACTTAGGGGTTACTTGCAGGATCATGGGACTTAGTAACTAAGGTTATTACTAGGGTAACTATACTTATAGCTACTTGTAACCCCAATTAAGGTACTTATAACCATATGTACTAAGTCCCACGATCCTCCAAGTAGGGCTTGGATTGGCTTTGCAGGGTGCTACGCGGGTTTTATCGGCTTTTACGGGGTTTCTGCAGGATTTTGTTTGGGTTTAAGGTTGATAAGTTGAGAAGGGTTTACAAGGATACATAAGTTTACAAGGGTATATAAGCCTTTATAATAAGGGCTCTTCTAAACCGTAAACTGAACTCTTTTAGGCTAGGTCGGTTTATTGCCAGTCCTGCTTGATTCGGAGTAGGCGCCCTTGAAATAATTGCATGCAGTGCTGAAGTCCTGAGACTCTAAACCTTATAGGATCCTTAAGGGGGGGTGGTTCAAGGGGGGAGGGTACTAGGGAGCTTTGGGGAACCTTAGGGAAGCTTAGGGAGTATTGGGGAATAATGGGGATTACTAGGTTACCTACCCCCCTTGGACCACCCCCCCTGAAGGACATCCTAAAAACCAGTACGTCCCAGGGCGAAGTCCAAGAACTCTCAGTACCAACATATCACTGACGCGTAAAGGATCCTGACTAGAACCTAATGAGTATTTCTTTTTCTGCTGCCTTGTAAACCCTAAGCTCTAATGCTCCAGGACCTTCGACCTTAAACCCAAGTTCAAGAACCCTCAGCGATTGAAGTCGCAGAAACTATCGCCAGGACAAGTGACACTACCTGTCCTCTAAAGCCCCAAGCCCTGCATCAAACCCGGATGCAAGCTTTATGGAGCGTCTGTATAGTCCCAACCCCCCCTTGTAGAACCCTTCTAAACACTTACGAATCCTAACAGAAGTTGAAAGAACTTCCACAGAGCCTTCATAGAACCCCCTACAAAACCCGTGTAGAACCCATATTCCAACCCTGATAGAGCCCTTGTGCTTGGAGGATCATGGGACTTAGTAAGTACGGTTATAAGTACCCTAATTTGGGTTATCAGCAGCTATGAGTATGGTTACCCTAATAATAACCTCAGTTACTAAGTCCCATGGTCCTTTAAGTAACCCTAAGACCCCTCTTATAGAACCCTTATAGATCCCTTTTAAGGAGCCCTTTAAAGAACCCTACAGTTACTAAGTCCCATGGTCCTTTAAGTAGAACCCTTCTAAAACCCAACGCCTCTCTGCCAGGAACGTGGCTTTCAGACAGCTCCAGGAGGCTTGCGTTTAGGGATTAGGGTTTAGGGTTCCCAAAACCCTAAACCTTACTTGGAGGTCATGGATAGTTATAAGTAGGGTTTTAAGTTGGGGAAACTATACTTATAACCCATATTAGGAGATGCTAGTTATAAGTAGGGTTGTAAGTAAATTAACTATGCTTATAAACCATATTTGGAGACTTATAACCCGACCATACCCTACTTATACCTACCCCCGAACCTCCAAGTACTAAACCCTGAGCCCGGGTTTAGGGGTCTAGGGTTTAGGGCTCTCAAGCCCTCTGTGTAAGAGCGCCTAGAGAACCCTAGGCCCTCCCTCTGTGAGGCTGCGCGGGCCTCCGGCGACCAGCTCTTCCATGTCTCCGAGGAAGTTCCCGAAGACCTGTGGCTGGTGAATGGCGCCCCAGGGAGCTGAAGTGTACCAAGTTCAGGGTTTAGGGTTTAGCGTCGGAGGGTTGAGAAAAGGTTGTGTAAAGAGTTTTTAGAGGTTCTCCGGGAGCTCAAATTTTGAGTTCAGAAAGGGTTTTAGAAAGACTTTTTTGGGAGGTTCGATAAGGAAGGGTTCTATCATAGTGTTACGGAGTTTAGTGAATGGCGCCAAGGACGGGAGCTTAAGCTTTGAAGGGTTCGGTGTGAGGGTTTAGCTTTGGAGGGTTCAAGAAAGGGTTCAAGAAAGGGGGTTCTACAACGGGGCTAGAATTTTGGTCAAGTGTTGGGTTTAAAAAAGGGTTCTATAAAGGAGTCAATTATGTTCAGGATTGACGGAGTTTAGGTCAGCATGTAAACGGTTCTAGATGGGACCCATTGGAGCAGGGATGCCTCAAAAGCTAAAGGCGAATGGTTCAATCCAGCGTATGTATATAAAGCTTCTGCCATGGTGCATGGAGCTAGTTTTCAGGGGTTGAGGGTTCAGGTTATAAGGGCAAGCATTCAGGCAGGTCCCGCAGTGAACCTTCTTTCCTTTTTGTGCCAAAATCATTCCTGAAGTGTGGAAGCAGGAACGAAGGTACCTTCACTGTTAAAGGCCTCGCCGGCTGGTTAAAAACCTTGAACCCTACACTATCAGAAACCCCAGGCACTGAACCCGAAACCAGAACAAACCCTATAACCTTAAACCCTGTAAGAACCTCATAAAAAAGCCGACGCCCCATAAGAAACCCTAATCCCTGCGAGAACCTGATAGGAATCCCAAAACCCGCAAGAGCCCTGAATCCTAACCATCTCTAACTCAGGTGCAGTGCAGCCTGTTCTCACTGTGTCCTCGACGGAGTGGCATCGCTTGCGCTTGGTCATGGCCGGCGTATCAAGATGGCTCTGGCTGGAGTTCGGGCAGTGCCAGGCGGGAATTTCAGAAAAACAAGGGCGTCAAGATAAAACCAATAAAGCCTACTTGAACGATCACGGAACTTAGTAACTAAGGTTATTATTAGGGCAGCTATACTTATAACTACTTATAACCTTACTAAGTCCCATGATCCTCCAAGTAGGATCCTTCTCATCCCCCCAGTCGGGGTCCCACTATAGATCCCAATGGTAGGAGCCTGCTTTCAAAAGGACCCCTATTCCCAAAAAGACTAGGATCCTTTTCATCTCCCAAGACAGGACCCCAACATATATCCCAGTGAGACGAGCTTATACATAGAAGGACCCAAGATCGCACCTCTAGTTTCAAGAAAATCCAACAAAGCCTATGTCGGGGCACCACTATAAATCCCAATGGTAGGAGCCTGCTTACAAAAGGACCCAAGAACGAACTTCTAGTTTCAAGAACCACAGGTTGCGCTGCTCGCGAAAGATGGCATCTACATCGAGGACTTCCCACGCTGGATCTCCCACGTCTCCCTGCCCCCCGGAGGCCGCTAAACCCTAAACCCCAAACCCTAAACCCCAAACCCCAAACCCTAAACCCTAAACCCCGAACCCTAAACCCTAAACCCCAAACCCCAAACCCTAAACCCTAAACCCCAAACCCACCCTGCCCCCCGGAGGCCGCGCCGACGTCGTCGTGCGCTGCCCCGGCGGCAAGGACGGCCTGGAGCACACCGTGAACTCCCACGACTGGCCCGGGGTTTGGCCGAAACTCGGCTCTTGTTAAGGACTGCAGTTTAAGTTGCCAAAATAAGGAAGCCATATCATGTAATTTCCGAAAAAATAAGGAAGCCATATCATGATAATTTCCTATACTATAGATCCCTCTTATAGTATATAACTAACTTAGTTTACATTCCTTAATACGAGACTTCCCAGGAAATCCTACGCGGGGTCTATTATAGTAACTTAGTTTACATTCCTTAATAAGAGCCCGCCCACCCAGGAAATCCTACGTGGGGCCCCTCTTCTCCATCCGGGCCATTCAGGGCTCTCGCAGCTCCCGAGAACGGGGGCCCCTGCAGCCCTGGCGTCCTGGGAGAAGACCTGGATATCTTCAGGACCTGCGGCTTCAGGGGTTTAAGGGGTTTAAGGGGTTTAGGGTTTTAGGGCTTTAGGGCTTTAGGGTTTAGGGCTTTAGGGTTTACTGTTTAGGGCTTCGGGTTTAGGGATTAGGGTTTAGGGTTTAGGGCTTTAGGGTTTAGGGTTTTAGGGTTTAGGGTTCAGGGCTTAGGGTTTTAGGGTTTAGGGAAGACCTGGATATCTTCAGGACCTGCGCGGTCAAAGCGCCGACTGCGCCTGCAACTGGGCTCTTGCAAGTCTGTACACATGTATCTCTCTCTCGCTCTCTATATTTATTATGTGTGTGTATATATATATATATATTTGTGGTTGTGTTTTTAGTTATATACACACATATTCTATGTGTATATAGCAAGTAGTAGACCTTCTTAAGCTGGGATAGGTCAAGTCGACGTCCTGAGCACGAACCGAGGCAAGACGATGCTCCATATGAGGTGGATTGATGATTTGCTCTTCCGAGGCTGAGCCGATGAAATGTAATCTTCTTTTAGGAGTCCTGTAATCTATAAACCGTTAAACCACCAAAGCTTTCAATCCGAACCCCTCCCCTGAAAGGCACAAAGTATCTGCATCAGTGGCCGCGGGATGCGGTGGTTCAAAGGGAGCTCGCTGGCATTGACAGGCACAGCAACCCGGATCCACTTTTGAGGCTTCCGGTTCTTCCAGCTTAGGGCTTAAAGGGAACTCCAGAAAGTTGGAATATGGATTAATGGTAGGATCCCCTATAATTTTCCTTAAAGGGGTTACGATAATGATATTCCAACTTTCTGGCTTCTACCGTAAGTTGTAGTGGTGCAGGGGTTTAGGGGTTTAGAGTTGAAGGCCGAGGGTCGGAGCATTAAGCCCTAAACCCTAAAACCTAAACCCTAAAACCTAAACCCTAAACCTTAAACCCTAAACCCCATAGAAGTAGAAATATGTAGAACGACTTTTTTCTCAAGGTTCCTTAGGATAATTCTAGTAAATATGCATCATCCAAAGCTTTGTTCTAGTCATTCAAGCCAAAACGCACCGAGGCTTTCACCAACACACCTGGCCCTTCCAACTTCAGACGACGCCGGCCGGAGACGATCCGTACTTCAAGGCCAATTTTTCTTGGGCTTTATAGGGTTTTGTACGGGTTCACAAGGGCTTTGTTGGGCTTTATAGGGTTTGTACGGGCTTACAAGGGCTTTATGAGGGTCCGACAAGAGTTTTGTAGGTTTTATCGTGCTTTACCTAGTCCAGGGGTCTGTAACAGTTTGATGGAGTCTTGTAACGTGTACTAGGGCTCCGAAGATTGGTCTTGCCTTATGACGGGATCCGTGATGCTTGAGGCTCGGGCACGAACTTCCAAGCCTTGCGGATTGACCGAAACCCCGAAATCATCAACCCTTCAAATCTTAAATCCGAAACCCGTCACTCCAAGAACAACTTGGAGGCTCATGGTAGTTATAAGTAGGGTAACTGTACTTATAACTCATTTTAGGGGACTTGTAACCCTGCTTATAACTACCCATGAACCTCCAAGAAAGACCTTCAGGTCTTCAGCCCTACATTCTGAGCCCCCCGCAAAGCACATCAGGCCGGCGACTGGCACGACACCTACCAGAATGTCTTCGACCCAAAGGCACGGGTCGGAGATCATAGGAGGCCAAAAGGGGTTTTAGCCTATGGGGGTTTAGTAGGGATTAGGGTTCCCATAATAGGGTTCATATTAAGGAATCCCTACCCCAAGAATCTTAAACCCCGCTTTTGGCCTCCCATCAGGAGAGAGCTTGCTGCTGAGAGTTTTGGTCGGGGTCTAGGGCTTCGAGGTTTGCGGTTCAGGGTTCAAGAGTGTACCGTTTTTGACAGGCTTTTGCTGTTTATTGGGGTGAAAAAAACGACGGCGAAACCCAGCTCAGGTCAGAGGGAACTGTGCTCTCTGGGCTAAGTCTTAACTGCTGCAAGCCCCCTCACTTTCACATCCAAGTCCACTCGGGCGTCACGATCCTTGCCCCTGGTTGAGGGTTTATGGTTGGGTACGGCCCCCACAGTAATAGTTGAATAGTACTCAAAATATAGATATATCAGGAGCTAAATAGTAGTGTCGCCCTATCATAGACTCTTACTGTATGGGGGCAGTACCTAAGTCTATGGTTCGGATTCAGGTTTCTTGGGGTTGAAGGTTTCACGGTCAGGATTTCATTTGGGTGGTTGTCAAAATTATGGCCCTTTTTGGGTCCCTTATATGGTACGGCACCTAATATTTAGGGTATCCCAAAAAGGACCCTAATTTTGACAACCACCCAGATTTTTGAAGCTTCAGGGTCTACAGTTCCAGGGATCTGTGGCCCCTGCTGGAAATCTCAAGCACCCGCTAAACAAAAATAAAGACCCTGAGCCCGAAACCCTAAACCCTGAACCCTAAACCCTGAACCCTAAACCCTAACCAAAAAAAACCCAAGATTCCCCAACCTCTAAGTTTTAAGTTGCATGGAGCCAGGCGACGGTGCGCTTTAGAACCGTCGATTTTGCAGGCCCCCAAGTGGCACCTCTGCTGCATTTAGGGCTTCAGGTTTTGGAGTTTTAGGCTTTAGGTTTTACTTGGGTACTGCCCCGAAGCCAGCTTCCGGCTGAGGCTATTGGTGTTTCAAGGCTTCTCTCAGGGCTTGTTTCGGATGCACCGAATTAAAATCCTAGACCCCAAGCCTAGTTCTGCAACACTGCACGCAGTGGAGCCGAGGTGCACTGCCATATGCTGACGCACGAGGCCCAAACTCAGTCACTCTGTTGAGCAGCAGAGCCTGGCAACCGAATTTCGAAAAGGTTTGGATGCATCCTATCTATGTATAGTTATAGGAACATCAAGGAGGTTGAGGAATAGTATTTGAGTAGTATCGGTATTTCTGATGCTGTGATGTCTATCCTGCGACATGTTGGAACCTGTCTCTTGAGATTTGTTTTTTCTGACTCTCTGTTTTCGACAGACAATAGGACGGACGCACCAGACAGACCGCAGTGAGACCGATGCATAAAGAGACAGAGAGAAGAAGAGAGGAAGAGAGTCAGGCACGCAGGTGGCAGAAAGATTACGTGATACGTGAATGGGTGGATACACGAGCTCAAACCCCGCTGCTCACTAGTAGGACTCCTGTAACTTTTGTAAGGAACTTTCAAGCAAAACCCGGCTGTAACCATAAAACATGTAAGACACCGATATGACTGCTAATGTCGCTTAAGATCCCCTGAACCCTACTTGGAGGATCATGGGACTTGGTAAGTATGGTTTTAAGTACCTTAACTGGGGTTATAAGTAGTTTTTAAGTATAGTTACCCTAACAATGACCTTAGTTGCTCAGTCCCATGATCCTTTAGGTAACCCTAAGACCCCTCTTATAGAACGCTCATAGATCCCTTTTAAGGAGCCCTTTAAAAAACCTTAGAGTTACTAAGTCCCATGATCCTTGAAGTAGACCTGCAGCAGGACGAGGGCATGATCGGATCGGAGGTTGTTCAAGGCCAGGGACCGTCTCTCCCCCTTGGGTTTAGGGGTTTAGGGGTTTAGGGGTTTAGGGGTTTAGGGGTTTAGGGTTTAGGGTTTAGGGGTTTAGGGTTTAGGGGTTTAGGGTTTAGGGTTTAGGGTTTAGGGTTTGCTGCAAGATTGCATAGCGGTAGTGTAACAGGGATTGCAGGATTTATTAGCGGTTTTGTTGCCTGCGAATCGCAGCCATGGCCCGACTGTGGCGGGCCATCACATAACTCACCCACCCCACGCCGTCTGAGGCGGCAAACCACCCAAACCTATACCTTTTAGGGCTTAGGACCTAAACTCTGTTAGGTCCATGTTGGTTAACAACAACCACACAATTCTGCAGCCAAGCTTCTGCTCCGAAAAAGCAGGGCAGAGTAGGGCAGAGTACGGCAGGAGGCAAGGGCTGGAGGGGCCAGGGGGCCCAGGGGGGCCAAGTCCCCCCTAGGACCGGCCAAGAGGCCCCTAGGTCCCGGAACTCTGTTCGCTGGAGCTTCCAAGGCCCCCCGGGGGGTCCCTTTTTGGGGGTGGCCAGACCAGCCCAGCCCCGCCCAGGATTTCGGGCTCCGGGTTTAGGGTAATGACTTTAATAGGGACCAGTACTGGTCCCGGGGAGAACGTGTCCCGGTACCGGGCCTAACGTGGGTGCTACAGTACCCCTGTCTGTGGGACGGCGGGCGAGCGTCCCGGATCGACCTGCGCCATCGATGTCGAGGGGCTTAAGCGCCGCCCACCATCGAAGGTGGGCGGCCTAGGCCTTGAGTTTAGGGTTTAGGGTTTAGGGTTTAAGGGTTTAGGGTTTAGGGTTTAGGGTTTAGGGGTTTAGGGTTTAGGGTTTAGGGTTTAGGGTTTAGGGTTTAGGGGTTTAGGGTTTAGGGTTTAGGGTTTAGGGGTTTAGGGTTTAGGGTTTAGGGTAACGGAGTGCTTGGAGGTCTGTTGGGGCTATACTAGCAATTTCAGGGACACTACAAGACAGGTTGTGGTAGTCTACGGTAGAACCTCAAAGGCATGCGGATTGGGGGTCCCTTGCACCTTTCGAATTACGGAACATGGATTTAGGATGATTAGGCTAGGATCCCTCATACTTTACCTTGAGGGCATGGGGATAATGGTGTTCCAACTTTCTGGCTTCTACTATAGTTGTTTTCGGGCTAAGGGTCTTCAGCTCGAAGTATGGGAGCCTGAATACTTAGAATAGGTTAAGGGGTTTTAGGGATTGAAATTCTTATATATCTTTTCGCTACCAGACTGTTGGGGCCGGAGTAGACCCGAAACCCTAAACCCTAAACCCTAAGCCTTAAACCAGAACATGGTTTTGGGGTGTGTGGGGCAGCTTAGGCTCTTCGATGCCGATGGGTTTTGGAATCCTGAGGTCCTAAGCTTGGAACCCTCAACCCTCCCAACCCAAACCCGAACCCTAAGCTCTCAACCCCAAAATTCGATTCCCTAAGCTTTCCAACCGAAAGCCCTAAGCCCTAACAGTGGCCCTGACACTTATATATACGGGGTGAAGGCAATTTGGAGTTCTGAGGTGTTCATGCTGCTTCGAGGCTCGGTTTGTGGTTGAAGATGTTAGGGCTGCTCAAGGTTTGAAGGGAACTCCAGAAAGTTGGAATATGGTTTCAGGGTAGGATCCCTTATAATTTACCTTAGAGGGGCTAGGATAATCATATTCCAGCTTTGTGGCTTCTACCTTAGGGTTTGCTGGTTTGGGGCTGGGAGTTCAGAAGTTGGGGCTGAGGGTCTGGAGTATTCAACTTGAGAGCTAAAGCGTTTTCGAGTGTGGGGTTCAGGGTTTAGGGTTTAGGGTTTACGGTTCAGGGTTCAGGGTTTGGGTAAAACAGGCAGGCTTTCAATGTGTCGCCTCGCCCGACAACACCATAAGCCTCTCAGGCGATCCCCAAAAGCCAAACCGAAACCGCCTTCCTGCTGTTGATGATATAAATCCTGCATTACCTTAAGGACCCTAGACTATGGGAGTTATGGTATATTCCTTATGATGGGTAATGCAGGATTTATATCATCAACCGCGGGACCCTGAACTCGGAAACCTGAGCTCTGACACCCAAAACCGATACACCCTGCTTGGAGGTTCATGGGTAGTTATCAGTAGGGTTCCTTTAAAGGTTCCTTTAAAGGGATCTCTAGGGAGTCTATAAGGGTATAGGGATTCGGGTTCATGGGTAGATATAAGTAGGGTTATAAGTAGGAAACTATACCGATGACCCATCTAGGGGACTTATAACCCTACTTATAACTACCCCTGAACCTCCAAGTAAACCTTAGAACCCGCAAGCAGCCCAAACCCGTGATCAGGCAAACTGGGGTCCCTCGATTTTGAGTCCGAGTCCTTACAGCAAGGACCTTTCCCACCCTGAAAATTCAAGCCGAAAGCCTAACCCTTAAATCGCTAAACCCTAAACCCCCAAACCCCTAAACTCCTAAACCCCCAAACCCCCAAACCCCTAAACCCCTAAACCCCTAAAGCCCTAAACCCCTAAAGCCCTAAACCCCTAAACACCTAAACCCCTCAACTCCTAAACCCTAAACCCCTAAACCACTTAAATCTTAAACGAAAGGTTGGGGCCCGGAAAACTGCCGTTGCGACCTTCTGAACGAGGCCGGCTTTGATTCCGACGGAGCCTTCAATCGGTTTTCAGGGTTTGTCGAGTCTTCGGGGGGATGTTTTAAAGGTTTTTGAGGGGCTCCATAAGGGCTAGGGGTATGGTACCATATTACCCTCCATCAAAAAATAGACCTTCAATTCCATACGGTTTCACTTACTTTAATCAAGATTTCGCACTGAATCATACAGCGCTTCTTGTCCTGATTTAAGGAGTGCCAAATAATGAAAGACATTTCGTGAACCTTAGTCATATTCAGCACGAGAAAACTGATCAAGGAATTATTTGAGGCATCTCAGGTCGTATGAAGAGATTGCTAATGGTGCCATGGTGCTGGTCATCAGAACCATGATCACCGGCAGGTGGGCTGGACGTTAATGCATGTTTGACAGCGTGAAGAAGGACAACCAAGAGTAGTATTAGGATAAGCATTGTTATTAGTAGCAGGGGTCGTCTTCGTCGTCGTGCGGGTAGTGGGAGTGGCAGCAGGGCAGTAGTGTGGTACGTAGGAGCAGGAGCAACATGGGCATGCTTCTGCTCGTGGGTTCCCCCGCATTGATAAGCGCTAAGCCCATCAATCCCAAAATCTAACGCCTGAAACCCCCAACTCCCAAACGACCCCAAGCCACAACCCCAAACCCCGAACCCTCCAAACCCCAAGCCTTCAACTCTAAATCGCAAGCCCTGATGCCTGATATGGGGGCTTTTACAATAAGAACAGGGGTTTGGGGAACACAAAAGTACACCAAACAAAGGAAACCCTAAGGAGGAATTTGGGTACCCCACTTCAAAAAGAGCCTAAATTCAGGATGAGCTCGTCAGCATCGTTGGGGACGAGCGAAGCCATCATCTGAGCTCAGGGGGTAGTAGAGGTTTGTTGTGGGCGTTTGGGGGTTTAGGGTTCTTGCTTTAATGGCTGACAGGTTTAAGTGTCTAGGGTTTTCAATTTTCGGTTTTGAGGGTTTAGGGGTGCGGTTTTGGGGATTTGTACAACCTACAGGGCGTTCAGAGGCAGTCACACGATTGTGAGAGTGTTCAAGGAGTTTATTAAGTATTACTGCACGTGGATACAGGGCCCTGATGGGTTCTGTCGTTGCTGTTTCGCTACGACTGTCTGAGCTATGGTCGCTGGTCGCATGCAAATTGTGGCATAGTCCCTACTCATGCAGGGTACTTAAAGGATCATGGGACTTAGTAACTAAGGTTATTATTAGGGTAACCATACTTAAAAACTACTTGTAACCCCAGTTAAGGTACTTATAACCATACTTACTAAGTCCCATGATCCTCCAAGTACCAGGTCACGGGCCAATGCTTTACAACCCGCCGGGCAAACGGGGGCGGGGGGCGACCTGACCTACCATCGTACTTCGTATTCAATCTTGCCGGAGTTGAGTCTGTCATGCTGCTTCGAGTTGTAAACAGGGCTTGCTTACCCAGAGCCTCCAAAACCCCTTAATTAAGGAATATACCTTAAATTATAATAGGATCCCTTATATGATTTAAGGTATATTCCTTAATTAAGGGGTTTTGGGGAATCTGGGTACTGTCAGCCTTGCGTGCAAGTAGAGACGGCATCTGCGAAGCGCTGCAGGCCAGAGGCTGTTGGTGCGGGGCCCCAGTCGCAAGAGATCATGCCACACGGATTTGGAAAGATCTCATGGAGAGACCCAGATTCCCGTTACTTTCTCCTCGATGCATCCAGGTGGCGAGCATGCTCTTCATGGCAATATCTCTTATACCCTTCGGGATGATGCGACAGGCCTGTGACCTGTGTGTCTGCGTGCTACTCGGAGTGCTCATATGTTGCTCCTGCCAGGTCCTTTGTCCGGCCCGGTATGCGAGTTACAAGACGCTGCCGGAGGAATCCATGAGTGATTGAGCATGTGCTCAAGAATCTAAGTGCGACATGCTGCCTTCCACTTGCCGGCGGGACAGCGTGCCGCCATGCCTATCGGCTTGCAAAGACTTAGAAGCTTTACGTAGCCCGTCATGTACAGCTTTTTGCGGGCAATGTTTTCGCTTGAGGCGACCTGCCATGCCTTGTTTAACAATCCCATGGCGTGTAGGCGTCGACTTCGGCCGGGGACTGTTTGTGAAGTAGGAGGCAGAGCCCTCTAGACAGTCCGCAAAAGTTACTACGAGGGTTCCATTGGGGTTTAGGGTGATCCGTTTTTGGCTGAAGTCGACTGTAGGGTGTTGATTGGGTAGAGTCTGCGCAACGAATTGGTTGTGCTGCACCTGCTCGGCAATCGCCTTGGCTCATGCGCTCTTCAAACTGTATTGTAGTTGAATCCAAGAATAAAAGGAGGGACCCTTAATAAGGACCTCTAGGTATATAGCCTTAATATGGCTATTATATAATTTAGGGTTTAGGGTTTAGGGTTTAGGATATATAATTTATATATCCATTATATGATATGTCTTCCCAAGGGCGTAAAACCCTCGACCGCAGCGGCGAGTTGCGTCTTTCTTGGTCTTCAGAGGGTTCTGTTGTTACGTTCCTATATGGGAGTTCCCGAAAATTAGGGGTACCGTATTTTGGGGTCCTTATAATAAGGATCCTACTATTCGGGGTACTATATATTGGGGTCCCCTATTTTCGGAAACTCCCATATTTGAAGGCCTTAGCGGTGGGCTTTAAAGGTCCCTAAACCCTAAACCCTGAACCTTAAATCGAAGGGTCTCATAGTTCGGGAACGATATTGGGGGCCGGCGAGCTCATCGCCTCCGGGTCGTAAAACATAGTAGCACAATTGCCCGCAGTTTAGGATTTGGGGGTTTACGGTTTAGGGGTTTGGGTTTTAGGGTTGGCTCAACTGAACTATAGTATGCTGGGTACCACGCGGTCGGACTCTAAACTCTGGAAATCCAAACCTAAACCCAAACCCTCAACCCTAAACTTCCCTCAACCCTACAACCCTAAACCCTCAACCCTAAAACCCTAAAAACCTAGAACCCTAAGACCCTAAAACCTTGAACCCTAAAACCCTAACCCCGACGGGTCCTTGCAGGCCACAGTTCTTACCTTTGGTTAGTAGGGAGTGGAAGAATGGTAGTAATAGTAGTTATACTTGTACCCCATTCCTCCATTCCCTACTAACCAAAGGTAAGAGTTTGAATAGCATGGTGAGCCCATCTTTGTGGGATTTGCGGAAATCCCAGCTGAGAGCTTTGTTCTGAACTCAGATCCACTCGGAGGATTTCAGGCTTGTTCTGAACTCGGATCCACTCGGAGGCTTTAGGCTTAAGGATTTTAGGGTTTCAGGGTGTTAGGGGGGCTTTCGGATTTTAGGCTTCAAGGTAGTTGGGGGTCTTGTGGCTTCGGGTTCAGGGAAGATTATGTCCAGATGCACCCTGATCACGGGCGTCCGGTGTGCATCGTGCGTTCAGGGTTTGGGTTTGGGGTTTGGGGTGTAGGGTCTAGGAATTAGGGTCCGGGGTGTTCTGGCCGACTGGAGAGGATCAGTCTAGAGCAACTGCCAAGCGTTTTCCAACGAGGCGCAACGTCGAACCTAGGAACGTCAACTGACAGTTGCCTGAGAGCCCGCTACCTTTTCTTTGAAGCATCGAGTTTTGAATTGAGGGCTTCTTCCCCAAAGCCAGAAAGCATAAACACAAAGAGTTTCAGAAATGAAACCCACGAACCCAAATCGTTTAGGCTCAAGCAAAGCTCGTTACTTAAGAGGTATCGGGCTCAAGGGCTTTCTGGGTTGAGTTTAAAATGGCCGCTCGAGTCTGAACCAACGTCAAACGTTCGGTTTGCTTTCTCGAGCTTTTCCTTCTGGCCCCTAAACCCTGAACCTAAAGTCAAAGCTTCATGCTGCTAGCACGTATCTGAAACCCTCAGCCCCACACCCCTTGCCCTAATTCCTCAGACCTCTGCGTGAGGCCCTATACCCTACTAATACTAAGACATGGCTCCGAGTAATCTCGCATATTTTATCGTGGCTTGAAACTTGTCTGTTAAAGTATACCTCAAATGCCTATACTAATCATTCAAGGCCCTTTACCATACTCCACGTGACAAGCATCGTTTAGAGGCTCCAGAAAAGACCGCAGAGTTACGAGTCAGTCCACCTTGATGTCGGGTTTCGGTCAGACTGTTACTGTATGGGGCTGTACCCAAGGTTTCGTGCTTGGGGTCTAAGGTCTAGGAACGATCGTCCTGAGTGCTTGGGTATAGATCTTGTGGCGAACGGTTCGTTCAACTCGTAATCTATGGATGAGGGGTTTTCATATCTGTGCAGGTCTTGCAGGCTCTGCTTTTAGGATCATGAAGATTCGCAGGGACAAAAAACCATCTATCTAGAGTGTTTGATCACTCGTCGTTGTTATTGCTTCTACCGTGATGTTGGTTGCTACCGTCATTATTGGAGTTGTTGTTGTGGTGGTTGTGCCAGGAAGCTGTTCACTCGTCAGAGCTCCTTGAACCCTACACCCCAAACCCTGAACCCTAACCCTAAACGCTGAGCTCTGAACCCTGAACCTAAAACCTTAGAAGCTGCCCCCACCCTGTAATAGTGACTATAAGGACTATACTAGCGCCCTCTTATATTCCTATTATACCACTAGTACAGGGTGGGGGCCCCTTCTAAGGTAGAGATTTGGTTTTGAGGCTTTGGGGTTTAGGATTGTCGGGTGTGGGGGCTGTGGAATTTGTGGTTGGGCTTTGGTGCCTTTCAAAGGGTTGGGTGTTTAGTGATTGGTGTGATTAGTATTGAATTAAGGCTGCAAGACTTTCTGCTTCTGGAGTTGTTTATTTATTGCAGGTTTGCATAGTTTGGGTTTTAGGGTTCAAGTTTCAGGCTTCGGGTTCAAGTTTCAGGCTTCGGGGGTTTGGGGCAGGGTCCGGCGATCTAGGCAAGCGGGGCTCAGGGTTTCGAGGTTTGGGGCTTTAGGGTTTAAGGCTTATCGGGTCTAGGACGGCACTGACCATAAACTCTGGACTCTAGAACTTACAACCTTCGCCTTAGCAGGACCCGAGCTCATGGAGCCAGAACCCTTCGAACCAAGCCCCGCACACCCGTAGGCCCTCTAGCCCTGGCTTGGTAGGGGTTAGGGGTTTAGGGTTTAGGGTTTAGGGTTTAGGGGAGAGTTCATTGAGCACATTCTAACGGCTGCATAACGAGCCAAGACGCATAGCTCTGCTTGCTGAACACCGCACATGCCGCTGCTTTCTTGCCCGGCTCGAACAGCTCCACAAGAAAGAGCTGAGATACCATGGTTCCAAGACGTTTGATCCTCAAGACAAGAAGAATGACAATTATAGGGATAATTGCAATAACAACAAAACGAATGATTAACATTGATAGTGGCAATAGTAGCAACCACAGCCCCACTTCAATTAACTGTAAAACTCGAAGCCCCAAGCCCCAAACCCTAAACCTAAACCCACGCGCAGCCCTAACCCTAAACCCTTAAACCCTTAAACCTAAACCCACGCGAAAACCCCCAAAACGTACCTTTGGTTAGTAGGGAATGGAGGAATGGGGTACAACTACAACTACTATGACTACCATTCTTCCACTCCCTACTAACCAAAGGTAAGCCAAAAGAGCATCCGATGGCAACCCTAAACCCTAAACCCTTAACTCTAAACTCTAAACTTTAAACCTACCCCCCATTCCCCAAAAGAGACCCTAACCCTTAAGCCCTAAACCCTAAATCCTAAACCCCAAACCCTAAACCCTAACCCCCCCCCCCCCCCCCACAAAAAAAAAAAACGCATCCGATGGCAACGGCACTGCCCTTGAGCCTCCCGGAGCTGCGAGGGGCGCGCAAGGACTTCGGACTGATCCTCGGGAGGAGAAGTTTCGATTTTTTTGTTTGGGTTTAGGGGTTTAGTTTTTTTTTTATGTCTTTCATTTTCTTATGCTTTTTATATCATAATCTTTTGTTTTTTGTTTCATTTCGAGTTTTTTTTTTTTTCGTTGTGTTTTCTTGGTGTCTTTCGGTTGCAACACAGCCCATGCACCCCGTGCATGGGCTTCTGCCAGAGTCTGTGTCTTGTTTCGGAACATAATCTGTTCAGGTTGAGTTTTTTGAGTTTCTGCGCCTCATGTACTGTAGGGGCCTAAATTAGTGCCAATACTATTTTGGGGGGTTCCTTAAAAACCCAATATAGTTAATAGTATGAGATACCCCAAAACATCTAATTCTAACTCGTAGCGGGGAAGGCCCTCCCGGAGTCTCATGGCCGCTCCCGAAAAGCAGAAAATCCTAAACCCAAAGCCCCCCCCCCGCTTTGATTAGGGTTTAGGGTTGAGGGTTTAGGGTAACAATCTCCTACGCAGCAACCCTAAGATCAACCTCACCGGTCGAGTTGTATTAGGTGCTGATTATTGATGCAGCTGTCGCATGTTTGGTCTGAGAAGGGTTGCTGTCTCTGCTGTCATCGCACTACTGTGTTCACAGTACGTATTGCGCTTCCTCGCACGAGTACCATCATTACGGTGATTCAGGTTTTGATGACCATTAATGCTGTCTGTTTTGCTCGACGATGCTGGTACTAGGTTGATATGTTCCGTCATTATAAGGATCCTACTATTTACCATTTTGGGTAATTTATTCGGGTCCTTTGATCTTGATCTCCCTTGTGCTTAGTAGGGAATGGAGGAATGGACGATGGGGACTGTTGTTGGGGATTATATAGGGACTACTATAGGGATCCATTCCTCCCTGCCCAACTAAGTAAGCACCAGACAGATAGGGTCCAATATTGTTGATGCCCAGGAAAGAGGATCGGTTCGAGTTTGTGCGTGAGCCCCACGGCTTGAAACACCGAAGCGAGGAAGAAGCGACCATGAGAAATATAGGGGCTTTCATGATTAGTAGTAGGGTTCCTTCAAAGGGTTCCTTCAAAGGGTTCTATAAGGGTTA